AAAACATCAATTGTAAAATTCTCATAGAAAATTAAGACAAAAAAGAATTTTGGAAGTGTAAAATAATAACTGATATACATTTTAAAACTTAAAAATGTTATATAAATCACAAGCAGCATTAATGAGAGTCAAGTATATGTGCATTCCCAAAAATGTCAGGAGTGCAACATTTGATGTTTTGCTCCCAAGCATGAAAAAACTATTATCATTATATGATTTTCTGATTTTTATTTTGGAAAATAAAGACACTAAGAACATTTTTACCAAATAGATTTATCAATTGCAGGATCTGTCTGTGCTTCAGATCCATATTTCTATGGTCAGGAGTGCAACACATTTTTTTTAAAGATTCAAGTTGTGTGAAGAAAAGACTTCTATTCATGCTTAGAAGTATTCATTAATTAATAATGATCTTTTTGTATAATTTAATGCTAAATTATTGACAGTTTTATTATTAAAATCCTTCCTTTTTCAATTTTATCAATTCAGATGTGTTTTTATCTTTTTTGTGATTTTTTTTAATGAACGTTAAAAATAAACACACTAAAACATTGTCATTAAATTCAAGTAATTCCTCCTCAACTTCACTGAAACAACAGAACAAGTTCTTATGTAATTTTCACTTCACAATTCTACTTTAAAGGCACCAATGCTTTTGGTCAGGAGTGCAACAAATATGTTAGAATTATAAATCATCCAATAAGAATAAAAATAAAGAAAAAATGATGAGTAGAATTTTTCTGGTGGGTTACTGTGTTTGTCTTCTAAAGGAAAATATGCTTTAAAATATATTTTATCTTCTAAATATACATTTAAGCTAGTTTTTTTTGGCATAAAATAGGGTATAATTCCAGATAAAATGTGAATTTTAAATACTTTCATCTGTTTAATTATGAAGTATTGGACTATAAGTATTGCACAATTTCATTACCACTTGATGTTGCCAACACTTTATGAATTTTTGAATTGAACATATTTTATTGACAAAGTCAAAAGGATCGGACACAAGTTCAGAAACTTAGATAGTCTTCTCCTAATACAACATTTTGTTAAAATTGCCAAAATAAAAAACATATATACATATGGTCTACTACATATACGTAGTTATAGAAAGAAAAAAAAAGTTTTAAGTGTACAAGTATAACTTGAATTGGTAAGAAGAAATTTTTTTTAAAAAGTAAGCTTATTTTGAAAAACGACCACATTCATTTAAGAAAGTTTGAATGGTTTTGAAAAGTTCAACATTTTGTTCAATAGTAAGAGAATCATCTCCCCATAACATTAAATGTACATCTATAACATATAAATAATTAAATGATAAAAGCTTATTCATTAAGGAATTCCTTGCTTTTACATAATATTTACAAGCAAAAAACAAATGATATGCATCTTCTAGTAGTCCACAAGAACAATTAGGACTGGTTATTAGGTTACAGCGATATAAGTCAGACTTTAAAATACAATTATGTCTTAATCTTGTATGAATTATGTTCAAAAACCTTTTTCCATATGAAAAATATTTCTGAGGTTTTGCAATACTGTTGTGCAGATAGTTTTTAAAAATTTTGATAGAAGTTGCCTCCCTTGTTTTAAGACTAAGGGAATTCCACTTTCTAACTGTATCAGGAATAAATGATTTATTATATAGTTCTGATCTGTATTTTGGCAAAGAATAATTTAAGAAATTCCTGGTAGTGTATCCTGAAATATTGCCTCTTGTATCAGGTACTAAATTTTGTAAATAATTAGGTACTAAATTATTGTGCATTTTATACATTGTTATTAATTTTGCTCTGTTTCTTCTGTATTCCAATGGTTCCCAACCTGTTTCCAAATATAATGAATTTCTTGAAGCAATAATTGTAAGCCCAGTAACTATTCTTGCAGCAAATAATTGTACTTTTTCAAGATTCTCAATGTCTGTTTTTGTGCATCCAGACCAAACTTCAACAGCATATTCAAGTTGTGGTCTAATAAAAGATATATACATCTGGGATAGAATATCTCTTGACACAGTAAATTTTAGTTTTTTAAGAAGCCCCAGTTTTTTGTATGCTTTCTTTATAATGATATCAATATGATCAGACCATCCTAAGTTGGACGACAGAAGTATCCCAAGATGTTTGTGTTCTGTAACATATTCCAATTGGCAATTGTCAAAATATAATTTAGGAAACTGCTGCATATTTTTTGAATTAAAAAATACGGCTTTGGTTTTCTGTGGGTTAAATTTCAATAACCATTTCTTTGACCATTCATCTAGTATTCTAAGATCATGGTTAAGATTTTGTTCAATATGATTAATATTATCTGAACATTGTTGTAAGGAATTATCATCAGCATATAATCTACAAACAGATATCATATTTTCAGCCACATCATTTACATACAGTAAAAATAACAAAGGACCAAGTACTGAGCCCTGAGGAACTCCAGCTTTTACATGTCCTACAGAGGAAAATTGATTTCTATACATGACTTGTTGTGTTCTATTGCTTAAATAACTATCAAACCAATCTAGCATATCACCATTGATTCCATACATTTTTAGTTTGTAAATTAAGCCTTTATGCCAGACTCTATCAAATGCCTTGGATAAATCACAAAACACCATACAACAGAATTTACCTTCATCAATACTTTTTACTATAGAGTGGTATGTTTCTAAAAGTTGATATACTGTGGAATGACCTGGTAAAAAACCTGCTTGATATTTATAAAATATATTATGTGAATACAAGAAATTGTATACATGTTTAAAAATGATTCTTTCAAAAATTTTGCTTATACAACTCAGCAAAGAAACTGGTCTATAATTTGTAGTGATGGAAGGGTCATCTTTCTTAAATAGTGGAAGAACATGTGCTAGTTTCCAGCAGTCTGGAAAAGTTTTTAGTGTTAGGGATTTGTTGAATAGTATACACAAAGGTTTTGAGATAGTGTCTTTGCAAGATTTTAACATTTTATGGCTGATGCAATCAGGACCTACTGCTTTATTAACAGGAATAATAGAAATTATATCAATAATTTCCTGTTCTTGTATTTTTATATCCGGAAAATTATCCTTACATCTAGACACTATATTTGGGAGCTCCTGATTACTGTCATCTAAGACTGTAATTGATGTGAAATATTTGTTCAATAGTTCAATTTTATCTATGTCTGAAAATGCAAAATTTTCAGTGCCATTGTTGGCTGTAAACTGAATAGGTGGAATTTCATTTGTTGGTGTAATGTGAAAAGTGTCTTTCAGTAACTTCCAGTATAGTTTTTGATTGTTCAGACTAGCATCCTTGAGATGAGAATCTATATTGTCATAATAGTTTTTGATAGCATATTTTTTCATGTTATTAAACTTATTCCTTACCTTCCGAAAAATTTCCATATCGGATTCTCTTTTTGTTTTTTGTGCTATTTTTCTTAGCCTATTGCGAATACGCAAAGTTTTCTTTAGAAGAGAATCCATCCATGGTTTATCATTTGGCCTTATGGTTACAGTTTTTTCAGGTATGCATTGGTGAATAATAGAATTAAACTTTTCCGTGAAGTTTGCTGTTGCAGTATTAATGTTTTCTGTAGCATCAATAAGGCTATTCCAGTCGCATTGTAGGATTAAATCATTGAGGAGTTTTAAATCTGCTTGCTTATAGTTCCAAATTTTACGTTTATATGCCGCATTAACATTGGTATTCTGGTGAATATATATATAAGTTGCTTTATGATCACTAACTGTATTACTAACTTTCAATGTTCCAGAATCATGTACATGTATATTGTCACTAATAATGATAGGATCTATAAGGGTTTCTGTATTGCAAGTAATTCTTGTAGGTTCATGTATGATATTTGTTAATCTACAGCTGTTCATTATTGTATGAATCTCATGTGAGTTGTTAACTTTTAAGAAATCAGTGTTAAGGTCACCAAGTACTACAATATTGCTGGAGATATCACAAGCTTTTTCAAAGGACCAAGATAGTTTTTGCCAAAAGACACTATTAGTGTGTGGTGGACGATAAATACAGCATATAAGTAGATTTCCCTTTACTTGTGGTATTTCTATCCAAATGAGTTCAGTATTAATTGGTTCTAAATCTTCTCTTCGACTAGCCTTAATTAAATTTGAAACATAAATCATTACACCTCCACCATAAGAATTGCGATCTTTTCTAAAAATATTCTTAAAACCTTCTATGAACAAACTTTCATTTGTAACATGTGTGTCTAAATGAGTCTCACTAAAACATAGTATATCAAAATCTTGAACTAAATACATTAGGGAATCAATCTTATTTCTGATGCTTCTAATATTAAGGTGCAGGATATCAAGAGAGTTTGAAGCAGGTGGGCCTGGGTTTGTTTCAATATCACCAGATAGCAAAAGAATGACAAACATGAATAATTGTGCAAAAAAATTAATTCTGAGAGACCAAGATGACATATTTTTATATTGTTTTTTGAAGATACTGGATATGAATAGCAAAATATCTAAAAGTGTAGTAGATTTTGAAACTTTAAAAGCAGACCTTGACAGTATATTATGACATTTAATGTAAAAAACCCCAATCGCGGCACGGTGTTGTTCAAGGGAATTACCCATTATCAAAAACTGTGGTTAAGCAAAATCCAAAGTTTGATTTGCAACTGGGCCGCATTGAAATGGGATTTATTGACATTGTAATTATTTGGCAATATGAGATGTGTCAATTCGAAATAAATAGAAAATAAAAAAGCACAAAACAGTAAACATAAAATTTGAAAAAAGAAGTGCATTAACTCGCACATTTCCCACGTAGAAATTGGGAGATGCATTATGAAAATAACATGAAAAACGGGTAATAGAGTACCGCTGTACATAACTGAATTGTAGTATTTACATGCATGTGTTGGGATGTAAATAATACGAGACAGAACGATATAACATCCAACTATATACACATGCAGATCGATTTGAAGACAGCGTGACAAACATAATAGTATAAGAATAAATTTGAACATACTGTACATATGTTTGGGACATCCGTTATGTTGATCTGTCAATCACATGTTTATAAATGAAAACGAAAGTAGGTAAACACTGATTCGACGAGGTTCCAAGCGTCTGAGAGACGCGAACACGTGGAAATGTTTATAAACACAGTGTTTTACGATTTTGGCGTCGAAGCAAGAAACTGTTCGTCTACGTTGTCATCTTGGAAACACTCTAGGTCCTCTGTTGTGTTTATCAATATTTTCTTCCCATGGTGACCACGGAGTTTCGCATATATTCGACCGTCATACGTCCAGCAGCTGTCAAGTTTTTTATTTTTTACTACTTGGCGAGTTTTCCCATATAGTTCCGCCCGTCTGGATGTCAAAGCTTCATTGATGTAGATGGGTCCAGTTTGTTTTGTTGGGTTTTGGTTGTAGGATTTTAAATTTCTTTTATTTGCATAAACTCTAGCTTTATCTCTATAACTAATAAATTTTACTATAATGTCTCTGGTTTTCCGGCTTGGGTCGTATTTGCCTACTCTGTGTGACCTTGAGATATCTTTGGTCGAGATTTTCTCATTGTTTTCATTTAGAACCAGGTTGTTGATGACATTCAGAACTAGCTTATCAGTAGATTCGTTTTGTTCTTCAGGTATGCCAGTAAATTTTAGGCAATTTCGCCTTGAATATTGTTCCATTTCGTCGATTTTCGACGTGAGCTCATTTATTTCTTTTCTGAGTGAGCCTATCTCCGAGACAAAAACTCCAGCAAGAGCGTTTTTAAAGTTATCTTTATTGAGTATAAGAGTGATTGCCTGTTTGAAGACGTTTTCATCCGAGGAAACGGAGTCTAACAAATCATTGAGTTTGCTTAGATCACCAGAGAGTAAGACGCTACTGTCCTGTCTGGCTCTCTTGCTTGGATTTAACTCAGTATTGTCAGTGGCCATAGTGCTTTACACGATGTATAAACAAACAGAAGTGTAGAGGCCTTGAAGTTCTAACGTAGTCTTGCTTATGAGTAGTGAGTAGGTGCTCACAATGGCGACATACACTCTATATAGAAATAACTTTTGGGAAATTGCTAACACGAATAACTCTTAAATAACTTTTTTTTCAAGACTTTTTTGTTACATATTTAACTTACATAGTTCCAGTAATCACTCATTCCTGAATATCCTATTTCAAATCACTCAAAAAAGACAAACATTATCGGAGCCCCACAAAGTCCGTCCTGTCTACATAGTGACGTCACACCTCAATTTTTGTGTTCTATGGTTTTAATTTTAAACTTTACTGCAGTCAGGAGTGCAACAAAACTGGTTCATAATTACCGATGCTTTTTAACTATCTTTACTAAAAAATAAGTTGAAAAAAAATGCTTGATACTATTTGATGTTCAAAACACTATGTCTATCAACAAATTACAGAAAATTTACAGTCAATTCAGGGAATATTTTTCAACATTTCACATATATTTTAAATACAATTTATATATATTACACTTTGCAAATAATCATGTTTTAAGGTCTTCAAAATATGAAAAACCTGCTGTAAACGATGAAAAATATCAACACGACAAATTGATTTACAAAGTAAGAATGGGTTATTGTGTTTTGTAATTTTTAAAACAATGTTAAAAAAATACATATCAGATGTCAGGAGTGCAACACAATAATGTAACATAGGGTCACTTCAAAATCTAGTATTTTTTGTAAGAGAACTCGTATATAACAATTCTTTTTTGGCCTAGATTTAAAGAATTGACTTGAACGGACAAAAAAGTGAACTTTGGGGAATTTTATTGCTTCATATTTTTTTCATATTAAAACTTTTCAAACCAGAATTGAAAAAATAATGTAAAATAACAATCAAAAAGCCAATTTTTTGTCACATGTACAAGAGAAGATATTCATTCAAGGTATAGATTTAATCATTTATACCCCTTTTACCATTTTGAAGCATAAAAAACTATAATTTCTTGTGATTATGTATTTTAGAAAGTCTTTCAAGGTGTGATGATATTTTCTTTTTTCAAAAGAAATTTTACTAATAAAAATTCTGAAACTTTTTAATCCAGTTGTCTATTCCATTGCCACTTCAGGATTTTAAACTAGAATGCATTTGCAATATGATGATATAAGTGAAAAATATGTTATAAGTAGGGATGTCAAAATTTTAATTTTCCGTAGTCGACTATTCGATTGCATTATTCGAACGATAGTCGAACATTCGGAACATTTTCTGGATAATATTTAGCTCTGTTTGCGAAGACTATGCAAGAGTTATCCTTCTTTTGTTTTTCACTAGTAGATGACATTTGCGTTGGATAGATATTCACAGGCACTTGACTTGTAGAGAGTATTTTTATATCAAAAATTTTTTTTAGTTTAAAAGAACATCAAAAATTGCCAGCACGTCAAGCTTATTAAAATAAAATGGGATAAACACTATCTATACGTCAGGTGCCTGTGATATTGTTCAATTACCGACTTGCCATTTAAATGTCCTTACAAAGTAAGCGAGTTGTTTTAACAATTATCAAATTGTCAAAACGTGTCTCGGCTGCGGTGTGTTTCCTACGTTTGATAACAATATATAATGGTATGTAATCGTCCAATGAAGTCTAATTAACTGTACTTTCATTATATTTTTACAAACAAACCCCAGGAAAGTGATGCATAATTTATCGCAAGGAAAAAAAAAACAGGCTTTAATTGACAAAAAATTATCAGATTATATTACAGAGAAGCATTAATAATTACATTATACATTTATCATGTTTATAATGGAAAGTCAACAGTTTTTGTTCAGGAATATGATTTTGTCAACAGTGTCTGAAGACAGACGATCTCTCAATTTTGATACGAGTAATCCGGCCGAAGAAAATATGCGTTCTGATGGCACTGATGTTGCTGGGGAGCCAAGAAATTTTCTTGCCAGTTTAGCGATCGATGGAAATTTGTTTTCGTTTCCCCGCCACCACGAAAGAGGGTCTTCGATAGATTCTAACTCCTCGCCGATGTAAATATCAAGTTCGTTTTCCCGGTCATTAACGTCTTTCTCAGGTGAAAATTTTGTAAGGAATTCAATACCACTTGGCCGCCGAATCCTTTTTGTTGGTGGCTCTACAGATTTAGCGGTGTCGCTAAGGGGCAGATCATCCAACAGAGACTCTATTTCACTTCTCGTAATATTTCTCTGATCCTTAGATAAGAACTTCAAGTTTTTGTACCGGGGGTCTAGGAAAGAAGCGACCATCGCGATCGATTTGGCAGTATCCTTAGATGTAGGCTTGTAACGACGCAATAGCTCATCTTTAACAGTTTCGCGAACTCTGTGTATGTTATTACTTTCCATGTCCCCAGAAAAATCATCAATTCGCCGAAGGAGCCCACAAACAATCGGATAGATTTGAGAAATGGATACATGCGTTTCTGTACTCATGTAGGTTGTGACTTCTGCAAAGTCCTTCAAAAAATTAGATAATTGGTCGATAAGTTCCCATTCATGGTCCTTTAAAAGAAGTAGAGAAAACTCCTTCTTAGTGACTTTATCGTCAAGCATGATATCGGTAAGGACGCGTCTTTGTTCAGTCAAACGCTGCATCATCTGTTGTGCGGAATTCCATCTAGTCGGTACGTTCTGAATCAAATCGTGAACAGGAATCCCCAGTAGCTTCTGCCGCTTGGATAGTTCTGCAGCTAAAGTCGTGGAATGCTTGAAATGCCCCACAAGCTTCCTGCATTTTCCGATGATTTTTGCGATATTTGGGAGATCAAGTGCGGGTTTGATCACTAATTGTAAAGTGTGACCAAAGCATGACTGAATTTTTTGGCAAAATTCAACTACTTATAACTTATAAGTAGTTGAATTTTGCCAAAAAATTCAGTTTGGTGGTCATTTTTTTTTAATTCACCCAATTACGAAAACCTATTAGGATCAATGGAAAAAATCTCTGTCAGTCAATAGTTAAGGAATGAATTTAATAGCTACCCAAGTTATACCGTATAACCTGGGTTGGGGCAGTTTACGCTTTATAAACTGCGAAGTTAAGCGGTTTATAAAAAAGCGTAAACTGTTCCAACCCAGGTTATACCACACAGGCACTTGTTTCGGTAATAAATTTTTAACCCATAGTATAATAATAACACGTGTTATTATTATACTATGGGTTAAAAATTTATTACCGAAACAAGTGCCTGTGTTATACCAGTATAACTTGGGTAGCTGCAGAACTGTAGCGTTAAGGTTTTATATTTTAGTCTTTGACCATAACGCTACAGATCCCCTAATGTAAATAAAGTGCAATTAACGGCGCAAAATTTTCTGCGCACTTTGGGGATGTATTACACCACTTTCCAGCACTGGTCAATCAACGACATTTTATCCCCTAATTCTAGACATATTCTATAACCAACCTGTATATTTTATCCACCTCCTAACCCTTTATATAGTCGTCTCTACAGACCAATATACTCGCTTGTTGTGAATTTGCTGTCGGATGGCATAAAATTCACAACAAGCGAGTTTATTGGTCTGTAGAGACAACTATAAGGGTTAGGAGGTGGATAAAATATACAGGTTCAGGCTCGTAGGAAGCAATTTCAGTTGGGGGGGGGGGGGCACAGCCATACATTTTCAGTTGAGGGGGAATTATCTACTACCAAAATTTCTTGACAAGCAAAAAAAAGGTCATCGGTCTTCAGACGTTTTTATTGAGGGGGCACAGGCATACTATCTATGTTTTCTATAGTAATCTATATATCGGCAAAATTATTGGGGGGGGGGCACGCCCCCCCCCCGTGCCCCCCGGTTCCTACGGCCATGAGGTTGGTTACAAAATATGTCTAGAATTAGGGGATGAAATGTCGTTGATTTACCACTGATGGAAAGTGGCGAAATACATCCCAAAGTGCGCAGAAAATCTTGCGCCGTAAATTGCACTTTATTTACTTTACGGGATCTGAAGCGTTATGGCCAAAGACTAAAATGTAAAATCTTAACTCTACAGTTCTGCAGCTATAACTTGGGTAGCTATTAAATTCATTCCTTATAATTAATTCTCTATCATTGTGTGTAGAAAATAAGTCAATTTCTCCTTCAAAAATGCCTTCATATTGTACATATTTTAAATATAACGTCAAGCGGATTGATACGTTTTTGACGGTTAGTCATTGTGACGTAGGCAACACAGGTTATACGATATAAACTATTTTTTATCCAATCAAATGACGCGTTACAACCACACTTAAATTGACCGTCAATGAGGAACTAGTATCAACTATGTTGACTGTTTTTCAATATAGAGAATAATTATAGGGACTATTCTTTACTGAATTTAACAAATATATATATTCTTTAGAGGCAGATTTAATTAGAAGACGGAAGACTTTTAAAAAATATCGGCCCCAAATCCAAATAATATCTGTATATTTATAAGAATCAAACAAAAACATAATCCAGGCAGATAATTATTATCATGATTACTACTGAACAGAAAAAAAAAATGTTTTCTGTCTACATTACTGCTTGTTTACTTATTTCTCTGCCATAATCTTTCTCTCTCTCTTCAAGACCCAACAAAATAATTTACAAAACAATATTCTGACGGAAAAAATGCAGATGTTCAAAGTACATATTGTCACTGACGACAATATGCTGATGTGTGACTGTACATTTCGTCGTCCTTTCTGCAGGAGGAAAACAAGGCTTGTCTATGTACATGTTGTCGCCATGCTAGTTTAATAACAAGAGGCCCATGGCCACATCGCTCACTTGAGCACATTGGCTCAAAAAAGAAGAAGCAAAAATCAATTCAGCATTAAAAAGTATACGGGGGGGGGGGGGGGGGGAGGGGGCTTTTAATTTTAAACTACCTGGTGATGCTTCCATATCAATATAACAAATGGCTTTGCTGTTCTTGAGCAGAAGATTTTTTCCTGTATATATGTGTTTGTAAAAATTTGATCCCCCATTGTGGCCCCACCCTACCCACGGGGACCCTCATTTGAACAAATTTGATTCTACACTACCTGAGGATGCCTCCATATCAATATGATTAATCATGGTTTTTCTGTTCTTGTGAAAAAGATTTTTTCTGATATATTTCTATGTAAGACTTTGATCCCCCATTGTGACCCCACCCTACCCCTGGGGGTCATGACTTGAAAAACCTGAATCTACACTACCTGAGGATGCTTCCATTAATAAATGACCAATCATGGCTTTGCTGTTCTTGAGAATAAAAGTTTTAAAGAATTTTCCTATGTATTCCTATGTTAAACTTTGATCACCCATTGTGGCCAACCCTATCCCTGGTGGTCATTATTTGAACAAATCTGAATCTACACTATCTGAGGATGCTTCAATATAAATATGTTCAATCATGGCTTTGTTGTTTTTGAGAAGAAGAGTTTTAAAGAATTTTCCTACGTATTTCTATGTAAAACTTAAATTGCCCATTGTTGCCCCATCCTATCCCCGGGTGTCATGATTTGAACAAATTTGAATCTACTCTACCTGAGGATGTTTCCACATAAGTTTCATCTTTCCTGGTCCAGTGGTTCTTGAGAAAAAGATTTTTAAAAGATGCCATTATTTTTTCACAAATTCCTAATTATCCCCCCTTGAAAGAGAGCATGGCCCTTCATTTGAAGAAACTTGAACCCCCTTCACCCAAGGATGCTTTGTGGCAAGTTTGGTTGAAATTGGCCCAGTGGTTCTAGAGAGGAAGTCGAAAATGTGAAAAGTTTACAGACAGACTGACAGACGAACTACAGACAAAATGTGATCAGAAAAGCTCATTTGAGCTTTCAGCTCAGCTGAGCTAATAATACGTAGTGGGTGGGGGTTTACCATTAATACAAGCCTATAAGCGGATTGTCTTCAAAGTTTCTGCTTGTCACCTTTTTTTAAAAAAAGATCATTCAAAACTCATTGAAAAGTATTTTATTCATCACTTTTATAATAATCAAATAACTGAGTCAACATAAATTACAATGAACATGAAGATATGTAACGTTTTCAACAACACATATGTACTCTTTACTAGCAAAGAGTCTCTGATTTTTCATCTCGAACCATTGCTTTGTTATTAGCCACTCTAGCAATTAATGGAGGAATCTTATCATCATCAAGACCTTTCTGCCACAGAGAATGGAGATGTTGATCTACAACCCTGTCCAAATCATCCGCTACTTTAGTGTCAAGGTCAGTATGAAGGACTAACATGATTACTGCCTTTTTATAAGGTGCATGGTCACCATCACAATAACCATGGAAAAGCAACATGACTTGGGGATCAAGGGCCTCAATATGATCAATGACAACAGTATGGAGTTTAAGAGCCCTTGTATCAAACACATGCTTGATTTCATTATCAAGCTGATATTTAACATCATCCACCGAATCGGCACGTATACTTTGGACATTTATGTAGCCACCCTTCTGGTTTCCACCAGTGTGAAGGTTGCTGAGTTTTGTTATGTAGTTCTTTGCCAGACAGGTAGCAGTTCTAGATGTGGTACCTCCCTTTGGAACGACAAGCAAAATAACTGCCGGGTATTCTGGTTCCTCTTCCTGGACTACACGCATGACGGGGACTTTTATCTTCTTCCAAAATTCATTATCTTGAGCTGTAAATTCCTTTCTTAATTCCTTGAACTTATTTGTAAATTTTTCCTTTATATCTATTTTAGCATGGTACGAGTCAGTAACATTTGATCCCTGTGGCAAGGAGATTACAACTAGTATGAACAACACAATTAGAACACAGCTCAGTATCCCTGTAATCATGACACACCAGGCACAGCATGAACAAGATGAACTAAGGTCTGAACCTGACTGTTTATTTTCTTTTACACTAGATTCTCTTAAAGTTTTCTCTGATGGACTTTTTGGAGACCTTTTTTTACTCTTTAAAATCGGGGATGTAGATGACTGCGAAGTGTCACTCTGAGAGTTATCTTCCTGGGACTCTGTGGAGGAGACTGAAAGATTGTCCGGGCTTTCTGAATCTTGTTTGTTGTTGCCTTTTGGACTATTTCTCTTCTTTTCCTTGCTCCTTGTGGTTGGCATGACACTGGAGTATCCTATTAAAAGCAAAATAAATAAATAAATTAATTAATTAAAAATAAATCCAAAAATGATGCATTATTTGTTGTACATGTACTACATGTACATACCAGAAATTTTTTCCAAATGACTTACACATTACATGTTTTTTCAATTTTTTTTTAAATGCATGAATGTATTTAAATTAGCTTTTCTTTGTGTAGTTAGTTTATACCTAACTAACACTATTTTGAAATAAGCATTGAAGAAATTTGGTTGTTATACATTAAAAATTTATTTCAAATGTTTTGGAAACAGAGAGTTTAAAACCACTGATGTAAATGAAATGTTTCTAATAATTTTCAAACTTTCATAATTTTCATGATTTGCAGGTTTTGTTGAGTTATGCCCCTTAAAAAACACAATATATAAAAACACCTACTTTTCTCTGGAAATTCATGTAAAATCTAGTAAAGGTTCGAAAAAATAAATTCGTATAAAAAACAAGAAAGTATCTTAGTGAAGATATCTTGCATGCATATTTAGTTATATGGGGGAAATGGGTAATATTTAAAGTCACCTTCTCATCACTTCCGTTGAATAAACTTGGACAAAGTTGGCAACCTTGTTGATTTATATATAGAGAGTGGGATAGATTTTGTAAAATTTTTGTTTTAGGTATTAATTTTTCTAATTGTTGGTATAGATTATATCAGAAATATGTCATTCAAAGATAATGTATGAGAAAAAAAAGTTGAAAAGGCCGGGGGGGGGGGGGGGGGGGAGGGTTTATATTGGGAGGGGGGTTCATGTCCTCAAGCACCTGTGGATATTTAAATATACCATGGAATGAGTGCATACAATATAATTTTCAATAAATGTTCAAAAAACGTGGCTTTTTTTTTTTTTTTTTAAATTCTGGCTTGGAGGTGATATCTGTATGCACCAATCCAGTAATTCTTTTCAAGGGGGGTGTGTGTGTGTTGGGGGGGGGGAGCTCCACAACAATTCAAACACATATTGGACAAGCAAAATGAAAAAACCTTCTTTTGATATACCTTATTTGCTGTTGGGAAAGGGGGGTAAGACAATTCACTTCCCTAAAAAAGGAGATGGGCGAACATAGCGTGCAGAAAGCCTATAGCTTCAGATATATAAAAATCATGTTCAATTTGTGAATTTAGTATTTAGAGTAAAGTTCTCATTATTGAAATTTATAAAATTATGATAAACAATACTTTTCTGAGGAAAATTTTCTCGGCAAAATTTATTCTTTTATTTAAAAGATAATGTGGTATTCTTGGGGTTCGAACCCTAGCAATTAAAATCCTGAGTATCATTTTCTTTACAGACTAGCAAGCTTACCACTAGACTACACAAGTCCTGGTGAATAGTGGCATTTAAATCATGTTTGTGATATGACCATTGACTTAATGGACTTCAAGTATTTCTCGAAAAGATGTGAATGATATGCCATAAAAGTCTATTTTTAAGGTATAGTGGGTCTTTGCTCCATATTTTTGGAAACCAAAAAATGTATATTTTCATGCAAACTTCAAGGAAGTGGAGCGAAGACCCACTCATATCGAAAAAATAGTGTTATAGTATGAGTAATGACTCTTTTTGCCCTCTTTAATGTGTATACAATATTTCATAAGCAAATAATTTCAATCTTTGTGAGATTTTTGCAAATTGTAGAGACTTTACATAAAGTATATTTTAATGTTAGATGAAATATCAAGGAAACTTTTGATATAATTGAGATTTAATTTTTTCACTTTCATGTTTGTCACACTATAAGCTTTTGGCTCGTCATGTTCATCCATCCTCTTTCTTCATATACATGACTCCCCTTCTACCATTACGAGGACACTGTGTTTCCCAGAGGGATGGGGGACCAAAGTCTTGTTTTTTATTACTTTACATAGAAATTTAAGAACTCCAAAATTCACTGGGGAGTCCGGACCCCCCATCTCCTTGACCCTCTAGATCAGCACTTGAGTCTTTGACTGCGAGTTTAAACAGTATAATAATATAATTATATTATATGGGCCATCCTATGTACTATGTATATACTAGTGTGGCGGTCAGACGGGATTGATCGCCGATGGCCAGATAGCTCAACACCTGACTGGAGATTCAGGGTACCCAGCCTTACAGTTTCTCCTTTCCTGTTACAGATTTGTTGCCATGCCATGCCCTAGAAGTGACAGGTGAAAGACCTGCCAGGGAGGAGCCTGAGTTGGTTAAGCTCAGCGAGATTTGTCTACTATGATTTCCTATAGAAATGAACCAAAGTACATAGTATTTGAAGCATACTATTGCTGGAACTCTTCAGCACTGGAGGTTTGAACGAATATGTCAGTGCTATGAAAAAATCAACAACTTGATTTTTGTTGGATTTAAACCTTTAAAAGGTAAGAAACAAAAATTTTATATTGATAGGGAGTTAAAAGGATGTCCAAAGCAAAAAGTTGAAGTGGGCAGGGAATTCATTTCAGCCTGTATTGATCAAAACAAGCGGTTGAAGTCCGGCCAAGATTTCCCTAGTCACTTTGTGTGGCACTGGTCTGAGATTTGAAAGAGGCATCTGTCCAAAATTTTTAGTCTCGATGAATCTCTCTGAGATTATGGGTTGGTGTCTTTGGGGGCCGAAGACCTTTAAGGAGAGAGGAGTGTGGCGGTCAAATGGGTTTGATCACGGGTGGCCAGATAGCAGTTGGTAGAGCACCTGACTGGAGATTTAGGGGGCCCAGGTTTTTGAATCCCGACTTGTCCATTTTTCTCCTCTCCTGTTACACTAGTTACGACCTCCATCTTACCCCCCCTTCCCGAAATGGTGAGTTATATGAAGAACATTGAAATCTGCTGGTAAATTTATTAATGTCAATAACATTACAGGGAGTTTGACTTTTACTATTACATGTAAGGTCTACTTCAGCATGTTTGAGTCTTTACTCTTCAACTGTTCTTCAGTCGGAAGTTTCATTATTCAATGAATACGCAGTATCAATTATACATAAATATATTACTTACGCAGAACTGAACAACTTCAATAAGTGTGTAAGTTATTTCAATTCAACGGTGCCAATCCACGGAGTCAGTATTTTGTTACTTTCATTTTCTTAGGTTGAAAGTTCAATAACTTGATTCCCGAGGTATTCCGTAATTGCATTATCGGGAATCCTCGGGAGATTCCTACCACTTCCGGAGAGAAACAACAAATATTGGGCGATTGGCAAGAATGTTTTGAATTTTAATTTAAGGCGATTACCGTAGAAGTTGCTACCATAGAGGTAATGCATAGAAAATCAGGAGTAACATCTACTGAACTATAGCTGACTCCATGTATTTCTTGACCCCCCCAAAAAACGCACTGTTTGTAGGCCATTGTTTCTACGGATTACTCAATATATAAGATACCTGATAAAGACAGAAGGTAACACAATGGGTGTGACCGGTCGAGAGGGGATGCTTACCCCTAGGCGGCAAGTGGTAAATCTACGAGTGGCAGTACTGCCGACTCCCGACTTTCTCTTTTTTTTTTTATATTGTTCATTCTGTTGTAAAGAATCGCTTCATACTTGTCAGGCGTATTTTCTGCTTTGAAATACATTTACATATACATAAATATGATAACAATATTATGTATATTATACTAAATCAAGGTCTATTGATTTCAGACTCCTGCTTGTTCTGGATTGCGTTTTTTATGAATATTCTTCATTTCGCTATAAAGAAACTTGAAACTTTTTGGGCATATTTGCTACGTTAAAGTTAGTTCCTACATACATAAATATATCAACAGTATAATTATGTATGATAACAACATCTGTCTAAAAATGGTAAAATTTTGTAATAAGTTATAAATGTGAAAATCAAAAAGGAATACTATTCACTGAACTGATCAATTTAGTTCATAAATGCCACCATTCGTAATAATTTTGTGTTTATGTGGATTTAGTTCAATATAGTTAATGTGCCTGAAAAGTTTGAACCGAATCTGTTTTGTGATAAGTAGAATATCAACAGAAAGCATTAATCTGAGAAGTCAGGAGTCGGCAATACTAGATTTGCCGCTTGCCCCCTAGGCACCCGATTCCACCTCTGGTACTTCCAGGGTAGATGTACTTGAGTCTTGGTTTATAAATATGTATACCCTTATCATTAGGTATAAACCTACATATTTATAAACCAAGACCCTGTCCAAAGAACCTGTGTTTCATGGGTCTGTGTTTTTGCCCTGCTTTTGAGATTGATCACTATTTTCACTTTTTTTTCATATAAATTTCTGCATAGCCAAAGTTTAATGTGTACATGTATTTTGATTAGGCAGGTGATCTGGGGGTCACCTTGAGGCCACTACGAGGTCCAGGGCAAAGCTCTTGTGGGACCGAATGTCGGACATGTCTGCCCAACAATGGACATTCAAGCCTAATGACACTGTGGCTCAGACAGTTTAGCCCAAGATATAAGACAGGATAGTCCCAGATTTAAAAAAATGGATGGGACATCAACAATGAGGCCCAAAACACTATGGGAAATATACATTCTATATAATGTGCATGTTGGGTAAAATTTTGATTAAAAAAAAATTAAATCAGGGTATGATTAAGGTACTTCAGTTCTTTGTAAGTTGATGGTAAATCAGTGAAAGTGAGGGCAATAATTGAAAATAAACAATGGAGGGGCTGGTCTTTGGTGTCTCAAGTACAAGTTTCTATCTTTTGACTGATTATCAAACTTGTTCAGATGTTTCAATTGATATTGAACATAAATGCATAGATGAACTTCATTAATTAAGCAAGTGCTATTAAGTTTTTTTTTTCTATATAAACATTTTAATTTACTGTAAAAAGAAAAAGAAAAAAACATCTCTGTTTCTTGCTTTGTAAGGATATTTCAATCAGCTCTCTGTATCAGAACCATTATGAGGTTTCACAGCTGAGCAATAAATTTTCTTTTTGATTTTCTATTGAAACACATATATTTTTATCTACCAAGGTATTGTTTCAGAAGTTTTAAAAGTAAATTGAAGGAAAAACATATTACATTCATATTACTGGTCTGTTATAACTTATTTTATATTTCCCAGTTTATCATGAAATACTAGGCCATGAAAATAACAGAAGTCTCTGACGAGACTGTAACTCTACTGGTTTGAACTTGCAGCAAAAGAAGAGAAAAGTTGCACTTGGACTTGAAACTTTGCAACAGCAATAAATAGAATAATGATCCTTGGTTTAGTCTCTTTTTGTGGCAAGATTTATTGCAATCAGGCTAAAACTGTAGGAGGAGTAGCCTTAAAGAGAAAGAGGGAGAATTTTACAGAATTTCGATTTTAGGTAAACGTGGCAACATCATTCATCAAAATGAAAAAAAGTTAAAGACAATTATGTATCTCAGTGTAGTGTACTTGCATGCTAAATTACATTAAAATCAGACAAAACTGTAGGAAAAAAAGTGTTTTGAAAGTATTTCACACAAATTTCTTTTTTTAGTAACCATGGCAACAATGTTCCTCAAATCAAAAACCAATAAACAGATTATGTATCTTAGTATTAGTCTGTTTGCATGCCAAGTTATATTACAGTCAGAGCAAACTGTAGGAAAAGAAGTGTTTTATAAGTATTTCACAGAAATTTCTATTTTTGTTACCATGGCAACATAGTTCCTCAAAATCAAAAACCAATGAACAGAATTATGTATCTTTTGTGTTGTCTACTTGTGTGCCAAGCTATATTGAAATCAGACCAAAAACTGTAGGAGGAGTAGTTTCTGAGAGTATTTCACAGAAATTTCTATTTTTATTTACCATGGCAAAACTGTTCGTTGGAATCAAAAACTGATACACAGAATTATGTACCTTAGTGTAGTCTACTTGTGTGCCAAGTCATATTGAAAACAAACCAAAACTGTAGGAGGAGTAGCATATTGAAGAATTGTTTACAGACGGACAGACCGACGAAGGACACCTTACTATCGCATAAGCTCTTCTGGTCTCTGACCAGTAGAGCTTAAAACAAAAAAAATATAATGTAAACAATAATAAATAAATTTCAAATAAATAAATTTATCAGTACAGAAATAAATACAGTCAAAAGTTTTGGACCAATGTGTTTGTCACCAAATTTTCACGGGTCAAGGTATCTCATATGTGGGCTCATCTTAAATTTGGGCTGACCCGACTGGGCCAACCTGTCAGATAGGATGGGTTGAAATATAATTGGACTGAGATGTGTATCAAACTGATAAAGAATACTGGGTTGAATAGATACCGCGATGAACTGTTTCACTCCTAGTAAAAGACAATTTTCCCAACATTGTTCTATTGTTTTAACATTACCAATATGCCTCTATGTATTATACTCTCTCTCTTTCTCTCTTTCAGTCTCATACTTGATGTTGCATTACAGATATAGTTTCTTTTCAGAGTAGATCAGAATTCATTTGAAAACTTTAAGCTCGTGTACACATTTTTGTTTTCTTGTACATTTTTTTAATTTCACATTGTATGAGATACATATTAGTCCTGTTAGTAATGTACGCTTGTATATAATTGGGAATCAAACTATGAATTTCTACAATGTTCTTCTATTTGTTTGATATTGACAGTAAGGAAGGATGGCAACAGGACAGTTACAAACAGGGCTCCCGCCACTCACACAGGCCCCGCCCACCATGTCACAAGTGGACAGAGAAAAAATCTACCAGTGGATCATAGAACTGACAAACCCAGAAACACGGGAAAATGCCTTACAAGAACTCAGGTATATTAGAACTTACGACAGAATATTCAGCAACTCGAATCTTGCAGAATATCATGATTCTTCTCTGTATGAGATCATTGTTGTTGTAATTCATTTAAGAAATGAATTTAATTTTTGAAGATTCATGAGGTCATGAACTACGAAGCTTCACGCCGGCATATTTCATGAAGCGCGTTTGCGCTTCATGATAAATATGCCGGCGTGAAGCGTCGTAGTTCATGACCTCATGAATCTTCAAAAATTAAATTCATTTCTTATATTTGCATTATTTTTCTGATGATTTGCCACAAATAACGCCACTCAACTGTAATTTTTAAAGCAAAACAGTTTGCACTATAGTTTTGACGTCAAGTAAGGTATTATGACGTAACAATGGAGATATTCATGCCCATGCATGGTAGTTCATGAGAAAATGAACTGTTTTCTTATTTGATCAAAGAATTGTATGGGAAATTTATTGGAAATGTGAATATATGGGAATGTAGTTTCAAGATACATCTGTTGACTAATCATTTAAAAGTCTTGTACTCTTAGGGTTATAGTTTATTAGTTAATTTAATTATGCATCAATATTCATGTCATCTATTGCTATTCAGTAATCAGTTAATGTGCAGATTTAGATGGGACAGTAATTCAGGACATAGTTTTCAAATTATATAGCACACATACAACTCTGTTCCTGTACATGTCATGTCCTCATTGGGTTTCTAAGATTTTTTAAAATAATTTTTAGCTCACCTCAATGAAGTTGGGGGAGCCTATGTAATACCCTCAGCATCAGTATCAGCGTCCCAGGTTAAAGTTTTTTGGAGCAGAATTAGGGCTGTGTCAATATATCGAATATTCAATACGTATCGATATTCAGGAATGTATCGTATCGACAAAATAATTTCCAATACGTATCGGACAGGCAGTTTTCCTTATAATTCTGTATTAAAGTTGGGAATTTCAGTTACCAAAGATTATTTTTAACTGTTTTGAATTAAAACTGGTCAGTGATGAAATAAACATTAAGGAGATAGCATATCTTAAATAACTATTTCAAAATACATAGACAACTATATTTTTAACATGTTATATTAGACTCACCCATTTTTTATCAAATTTATGCATTAAATGTCATTTACAAGACATTTTTGAAAGACTTAATAAATAATCCAATATATCGCATATCGCTTTATAAAATATCGTATCGTATCGAAATATTTTGCTCAATACACAGCCCTAAGCAGAATATATATTTTCATCATAAGGATGGGTATCGCCAAAATTTTGTATCACGATTTATCATGATTTTTTCCAAAAATATCACAATAATATCATATAATATCTTATATCATAATATCTTATAATTTTTACTATGAATTTAAATGAATTTCCATGATTTTTCCAACAAATATAGAGTGAAGACATAAATTCACTTTTTTCAGTTTTATTTATATATTAATAAAGCATGTTTGTATGCTAGGATGCCATTGTTTAACTGTTTTACAATATTTTTTACAATTCCTTTAAATGTAATTCAAGAGTTTGAACAAAATAATAATTATTTCTGGAATTTATAATTACATACATACTAAATACCAGTATATTGTTCTGTGTATCAGGATACATATCGCAAAATAAAAAATCACAGTATACCAGTACACTGATAAAATCGCAAATTCCTATTTCATCATTTTCAAAATGAAGACCACCTTAAACCAAAACTATCTAAATGCAATGAACAGCAATCATATCCCTGTAATTTAACTCTGGTTATAATGCACCATTTGATTGGATAAAAAATTTACTTTATATCGTATAAATTGTGTTGCCTAGGTCACAATGACTTGTAACAATATCAATCCGACTGACGTTACATTTAAATTTTGTACAATTTAAAGTCATTTTTAAGGGCAATCGTCTTATATTCTTACACTAAGTGAATGAAAATTAAATTATAAGGAATGAATTTAATAGCTACCCAATTTATACAGTATAAACTGGGTTGGAAAATCTTATGCTTTTCTATAAACTGCTTTGCAGTTTATAAAGCATAAACTGCCCCAACCCAGTTAATACAGTGTAAATAGGGTAGCTATTAAATTCATTCCTTAAATGAAATTATTCAAATACACATTGTTTTCTGGTTAAAGGTGGTCTTTGGTAATAGTTTGTCATAATTACGGTAGATACCTCAGTATTTCCTATATACCTCATACAAATGCAATGATTTTCATATTCATCATATAAAAGAAGTATCCACATTTAAACATCATTATTGTGTAATTGTATGGAGTTTACACTTGTATAAATTAAGAATGAATGACAAAATTTTTGAAAAAAAATAATGTATTTTAGAAATCACTACTAGGGTAGGTGAAAATGCCTATCGAAAGCACTGTGGCTCTATTTATATCACAACTCCCTATGGCCTAAAGAAGAACCCTATCAATTTTGAGGTCAAAAGGTCAGAGGTCAAGATAATAAATTCATACATTCTGCCTGTGTAACACTTCTTTCCAAACTATATCATTAAAAGCCTTTGAGATTTTGTGATGAAATTTTATATCACAACTTCTCATGGCTTTAAAAAAAACCATATTGATTTTGAGGTCAAAAGGTCCAGGTCACAAATATTTACATGTATTGCGTATATAGTTTTCAGATAAAAATTTTAGTTTTTCTGTAAGCTTTTGCAATGAAACATTTGGTCATGAATTTCTTTAACTTTAAAAAGACTCCTTTTGACTTTAAGGCCAAAAGGTGAAAGGTCAAGGTTGACCTTCTTTCTTTCTCAATCTGCATAATTTTTCCTTTCCTTCATCCTCTTCTTTTTTCCCTAAGCGGGAGACACAAACTGTCTAAATTAGCTTGTTTAGATTTCCCTTCAGTGTCATTTCCAAATACAAATGAAATTACAACCTCATAATACATGTATAATATCAAAGTAGCAAAAAAAAAATATCATTTCCCATAAATATGCAAAAAATAAAAAAAAATTTGGTCAGGTACTTTATGAGATATTCAAAAAGTTCACATTTTTCTGGGACAACCCTCATATAGCGAAAATCTTGTTTTACCAAAGTTTTAGAGTTATCTCTCTTTGTTTTCCCAAATAAGTGATGTATGTATAAGAAATATTTTCTGAAAATTCCCATAAATAGCTGTACAATATAATTAATATTTCAAATATGTTAACTTTTGAAAATGTTGACTTGGAGGTAGACTGCAGAACAATACTATGGTTCGCAGAACTTTCTTTCTGTCATGAGTTGTTGCTGAGTATCAGACTTAGTATGTTGTTGATCCCTGATCTTCCTTTTTCTCCTGATTTTGAGTGTCAGTTTATTTTGTGTTCTTATGTAATTACTGTATGAAGGGTTATTTTTGCCCTTTTACACTTGCAAGCAGTTTTGCCCCATTTTAAATTCACTCAGTCACAGCTCTGTTTTAGAAATTATACTGTGTTCTTTGAATTTGCCCCATTTTAAATTTGTCCACCTGTGAGAGGGTGAAAGGGGTGAAAATAAAACGGGGATGAAAATTTCCCTGTATACAGTATTTACCATCTCATGGAGCATTTACATGGTTGTATTTTATTCGTATGACTGTTAAGGCCCATGGGCAACTTTTTAGCTCACCTGAGCTGAAAGCTCAAGTGAGCTTTTCTGATCACCCCTTGTTCGTCGTCTGTCCATCCGTCTGTCCGTCCGTCTGTAAACTTTTCACATTTTCAACTTCTTCTCAAGAACCACTGGGCCAATTTTAACCAAACTTGGTACAAAGCATCCTTGGGTGAAGGGGAGTTTAAATTGTTAAAATGAAGGGCCAAGTCCCCTTCAAAGGGGAGATAATCAAGAAAATACAAAAATTGGGTGGGGTCATTAAAATATCTTTTTCTCAAGAACCACTGGGCCAGAAAAGCTGAAACTTAAGTGGAAGCATCCTGGGATAGTGTAAATTCTAAATTGTTCAAATCATGACCCCCAGGGGTAGGGCGGGGCCACAATAGGGAATCCAAGTTTTACTTTGAAATATATAGTAAAAATCTTTAAAAATATTCTTCTCAGGAACCAAAGGCCAAAAAAGCTGAAACTTATGTGGAAGCATTCTGGGGTAATGCAGATTCTAAATTGTTCAAATCATGACCCCCGGGGGTAGGGCAGGGCCACAATAGGGAATCCAAGGTTTACATTGAAATATGCAGAAAAAATCTTTAAAAAAATCTTCTTCTCAAGAACCAATGGGCCAGAAAGGCAGAAACTTCAGTGGAAGCATCCTTGGGATAGTGTAGATTCTAATTGTTCAAATCATTACCCTTGGGGGTAGGGCAGGGCCACAATAAGTACTACAAGGGGAGAGAAATCAAGTGAAAAACAGCAAGGCCAAAGTTACTCTGGTGAGCGTTGTGGCTCATGGGCCTCTTGTGTAAAATTTTGTTTGAAAACACTCAAAGCAGGTATCTTGTTAATTTGATGTTGAGATATTGCTATTTGTTAAAAAGAAAAAAATATCAGTAAAGAAAATAATCAGGCTGAAAGTGAGTATAAGTAGGTTTGTTTCTTCTTGGATTCTGCTCTGCTTATGTCAGAGACCATTCTTGGATGTAATCAGACACAAAGTCTTAAATGCCCATTGCTAAGGGTTATGAAATATTGTGTTGATCCGTGCTAAGCAATCACCAGCCAGAATTAACGAGCGTCCAACTTTACAGTAAGAAGAGAGAAGCAGTGCCGGATCTCGCTCCAATGTTATGGCATTCCTTTGGGACAGTTGCTGCTCTTCTGCAGGAAATAGTCAATATTTACCCAGCAATCCATCCCCCTCATCTCACGGTAAAGTATCATCCTAACTATTAAACAAGCCATTATAAATACATCTCACTCTGCTATAGGAAGTATTGAAAAGGACTTAAAGTTTTTTTTGTACTTAAGTAAATTATTTAACACAGTGGAATCATTACATTTTGAGGGGTCAAGTTTTCTTGTATGTCATGGATACCTTTAATCCACAATTTTTAGCTCACCTCAACGAAGTTGGGGGAGCTTATGTAATACCCTTGGCGTCAGCGTTGGCATCCCAGGTTAAGGTTTTTGGAGCAGTTTTCTTTTCAAGTACTTCTATGGCCTATATTAGTCAAAGATGCATGGAGGATGCTTCTAGTGTGTTTTATTGTACCAGTCAAGGTTTCAGATGCTGCAATTTCAGCTAAAGAATGACCAGGTTAATGTTTTTGGAGCAGGTTAAAGTTTTTGGAGCAGGTCTCATTTCCAAGTAACTATAAGCCCTATATTGACCAAACTTGCATGGATGATACATCTAAGGATGCACACTACTGAACTTGCTTCGGATGCTGGATCTGACCTACATTTTCCAGATGAGTGACTAGGTTAAAGTTTTTGGAGTAGATCTCATTTCCAAGTAACTATATGCACTATATTGACCAAACTTGCATGGATGATACATCTAAGGATGCACACTACTGGACTTGCTTCGGATGCTGGATCTGACCTATATTTTCCGGATTGATTGATTGATTGTATATTGTTTTACGTCCCATTCGAGAATTTTTCACTCATATAGAGACGTCACCATATACCGGTGAAGGGCTTCAAATTTTGACCTTTACTCGGCACTCAGGGCCATTGAGCAGTGAGGGATCTTTATCGTGCCAACGCCTGCCGTGACACGGGGCCTCAGTTTTTAAGGTCTCATCCGAAGGACCCGCAACTTTCACTTCAAAGTGCCGAGCGCATGGCGAAGGAACAGTTGCTACCTATTTTTTATCGACTTAGGTCTGTCGCGGCGGAGATTCGAACTCACGACCTCCCGATCACGGAGCGAGCGCTCTACCGACTGAGCTACCGTGAACGGTTATTTTCCGGATAAGTAACCAGGTTAAAGTTTTTGGAGCAGATCTCATTTCCAAGTAACTATAAGCCCTATATTGACCAAACTTGCATGGATGATACATCTAAGGATGCACACTACTGGACTTGCTTCGGATGCTGAATCTGACCTATATTTTCCGGATGAGTGACCAAGTTATAGTTTTTGGAGCAGATGTCATTTCCAAGTATCTATAAGCCCTATATTGACCAAACTTGCATGGATGATACATCTAAGGATGTACACTACTGGACTTGCTTCGGATGCTGGATCTGACCTATATTTTCCGGATGAGTAACCAGGTTAAAGTTTTTGGAGCAGATCTCATTTCCAAGTAACTATAAGCCCTATATTGACCAAACTTGCATGGATGATACATCTAAGGATGCACACTACTGGACTTGCTTCGGATGCTGAATCTGACCTATATTTTCCGGATGAGTGACCAGGTTATAGTTTTTGGAGCAGATGTCATTTCCAAGTATCTATAAGCCCTATATTGACCAAACTTGCATGGATGATACATCTAAGGATGTACACTACTGGACTTGCTTCGGATGCTGGATCTGACCTATATTTTCCGGATGAGTAACCAGGTTAAAGTTTTTAGAGCATATCTCATTTCCAAGTAACTATAAGGCCTATCTGAACCAAACTTGCATGGATGATGCATCAAGGGACGAACAATCTCAAAACTTGCTTCGGATGCTGGATTTAACTTACATTTTCTGGATGAGTGACTAGTTTTAAGTTTTCAGATAAGTCTATTCCCAAGTACCTGCAAGCCCCATCAGACCAAAATTGCATAAATGTTGCATCTAGGGATGCACACTCCTAGATTATTAGTTTATTTAGTGTGGGACTTTGCCTTACTTAAAGACAACATTCGTTGAGGTGAGCTCTGTAATCTCTGATTACCTATGTTTTAAACTCAAAGAAAATTGAAATAAGGTAATTTAAATCTTCAAAAACAAGACATTCCTCCTTGAATTAGCAGCTGAAGCATTATTTATGGACATACAGACAGTACAGTTTTGGCAAATCCAACTTACCATGAAAAATCATCAAATCTCTAGGTCTACTTCAATATTAATGCCTCAGAATTTTTTATGGATATCATTATGATATGCCCCACTTGAAAAGTGGGGGGGGGGGGGGGTTTATAAATAATGGGGCTGCCGATCCTTCCATTTGTCTGTAATGCTTGGGGGTACCCATCCCTTATTCACAACTCCTCATATATCACTGAGTAAAATTTAATGTAACTTTCTTCAGTTGAATGTCTATTATATAGTGCCATTGTGCACCTCTTATATTATTTTTTGATCTGGCACATAATTGGGGTTTCCTATAGTAAAACATGGACATTGCCATTCTATCTATAACACTGGGTCCATTTGGGGGTACCCATCTTTTATCTGCAACTTCTCCTATACCATTGAATAAAATGTCATGAGACTTTCACAGAATCTTTATTACATGAAGAATAAATGGGGTATCATTTTGTGAGGTTAGTGCTCACAGTACCTCTAGTTTGGAATAAACATTTTGAAAATCAATCGACATATGTATTGAAGCATATTTTCAGTATCACAAAAGTTGGTGTCGTCGCTAGCCAAGGGTTCAGAATGTCTTGAAGCACACCAGTTCCTACATCAAACTCAAAACTTCCTACTCAAAACAAAGCAAATCTTAACAGTTTGTCGTATGACCTGTCCAAAGAATGACTGGTCTTCAAAGATTTTCACTAATTTAGATATGATACTTCTTCTTGATATGTAGAACTAGATGATATTTTAAGCACTGACCAGTATTGTGTATGTTTCTCCAGGCTCATCAGTCCAACAGAGTGTGCAATGCCTTGGCCTTATTACAATGTGTTGCATCTCATCCAGAAACAAGATCTGCATTTCTTCAGGGTAATATATCTTAATATATACACTTTTAAAGTCAATGTACAGAAAAAAAAATCATTTTAAAGGGAAAAATGTAAAATTTGATACTAACGGTATATATAAGAATCAACCATTGAAAGTAATTATTGTGAATCAATGCAGATGAATACAGTTCTACAAATAATGCATAAATTCTTGTCTGATTTGTACAGCCCACATTCCATTGTTCCTATACCCATTTCTTCACACCATCCATAAGACACGCCCATTTGAGTATCTACGACTGACCAGTCTGGGTGTGATAGGTGCTCTAGTCAAGGTGATGTACAGTTACTAGTCAGAGGCAAATTGTATATTATATAAATATTGTATGGGTAACATTGAAAAATTTTCACCCTTCAAAAACCATTGTCAACCAAGGCACAATGGTTTTCTAGGTGTGAAAATTTTCAATGTTACCCTCAACTACATACAATATTTATTATATTGTTCTGAATGTTTTATACATATAACATTGAACCGTGTGTGCATTAATTTTACACAGTCAATATTTTTGTTTAATATTTACCAGTTGTCAAGCAATGTTGATGTTGCTACATTCTATCACACTAGAAAGCATGTGTTTTCATCATTCAGAGGGTAATGGAGTAGTGTAGTATGTATCTTTATCCAATATTGATTGTAACAGTTGAGAAAGAGATGTCCTCTGCTTTGTTTTTATTGTGTTAAACCATTAGGATGATGCAGACACTCTAAATGACACTGATGGAAATTTAATTATGATTGAGGCAAAGTAGATTGGTCAAACCTTTAAACACTCTTATACAATTATTGCTGGTTTTTGAGGTCAATACGATGATTTAGACACCTGAGGAGTACAATATTCACCGAGCCTAAAGGGCGAGGTGAATATTGTACTTCGAAGGTGTCTAAATCATCGTATTGACCTCAAAAAACAGCAATAACTTTTTTATTATATGATTAAATGATAGCAAACTCCTACAAGACTGTTTTTTTTGCTTTAATTGAAAGTTTTAACGAAAAATTTCAACAAGAACACATTGTAACATGAAAAAATGGAACAGGAATAATTCATGATATTGACCTGCAATAATTCCTTATATTGACCTGGAAGGTCACGTGATTCATTATATTGACCTGCAATAATTCCTTATATTGACCTGGAAGGTCACGTGTAGGTCAATATAACGTAGTATTTTTCTAACATTGTTGGATCTCAGCCAATCAGAAAGAGGGAAATTATTCAATCATATAATAAAATAGTTTATTTGTGTGTTTGACTTCTATACATTTTATTATTTGAATTTTATAAATCTGTAGCTAGTTTTCCTAGAGCTTTATTGAATTTCGTTATTTGACCATAAAAATAGTGACTCAATATTTTCTGATGGAAAAATTGATTTCTTTTAAATATATTGTTTTTCCTTTATATTTTTAAATGAATACACATTTGTGAAATCTTTTTATAATATTTTTTCATTTGTATTTGTGTATTGACTCCTAGAAATCATCTGCACTATGGAACGTTAATCTATTTTTGTCATAAAATTGGTTCCACAGATTGACAAATTTGGCTAGATATGAATGCAGATTTTAGTTATTAAAATCTTATGCACAAGACATTTGTTTCATATCGTGGATTTTAATTGCAAGCCAAGAAACAAAAATACAATTTACATTGACCAGGGACAGGAATAGTAAATACTACTGGAAAAAAGAAATCCAGATGAAAGAACTCCCTCCCATTTTCCCATTTTTGGAAGAAAAAAAAATATTCAAATCAGAAGAAAAAATCTGGCAATGTTTTACAGTTTATCATATATATTTTTTTTACAGACAGATGAACAAGAGGTTATAACCTTCCTTTTGACAACTGAGATAATTCCACTCTGTCTGCGTATAATGGAGGCAGGAAGTGAGCTTTCTAAAACAGTAAGCACTGCGTCCTTAAAGACATACTTTTATAAAGCATTCATTTTTATTATAAATGTAGCAACCTCTCCAATTACAGGTGGCAACAATTATTATAAATGTAGCAACCTCTCCAATTACAGGTGGCCACTTTTATTCTTCAGAAGATTTTATTGGATGAATTAGGGCTTTCTTATATATGTCAGACTTATGAAAGGTTTTCACATGTTGCCATGATTTTGGTAAGTATTTGAGTATTTGGTAAGTATTTGAGTATTTGGTAAGTATTTGAGTATTTATGATTTCTTACAGAATCACAGAAAAGTTGGAAGATTTATGTTTTGGCATCTACCACTGTAGAATCATTTTAATTTGTGGGAGTCAATGGTCATAGACAACCAAAATTTTACAAGTTTGTGGGGGACGTTATTTCATGGGGAACTCTTTTATATAGAAGATTCAGTAAACTGATACATTGACAAAATTATCATTCATGGGTATGTTAATCAATGGGTGAGAGTGATCCACAAAATTTAGGTGAAAATATAACTTCTTGATAATACAAATTCTAATAATTTAAAGGCATGAATATATTTATGAAGACTGAATTATAGTGTGCACTTTTATACAATGTATTTTAATTTTACAAGCAATATTACTCTCAGAATTATGAAGAGAGAAAAATGTTTTCAGAAATATAAGAAGTTATAATTTACAAGCGTGTGTATGTTACAATTAGAAATTAAGCATTCAAATGAAAAGGTAATCACCAAGATGTGCATTTGCTGCATGTATCATACCAGAAAAAAAACAAGAGGCCCAAGGGCCTTAACGGTCACCTGAGTATAAAACAACAATCCATAAAAGATCCATAGGGTATAAAATAAACTGATAGAAGAAGATTTTGTAAATCTTTGATCATCCACTGTGGCCCACCCTATCCCCAGAGTCATGATTTGAAAAAACTTGGATCTATACTCTATGAGGATGTTTGGATGTAAATATAACCAATCATGGCTTTGCTGCTCTTGGGAAAAGAATTTTTTCAAGATTTTTCCTACATATTACAATGTAAAACCTTCATTGTCCATTGTGGCCCACCCTACCCCAGGGGATCATGATTTTAACAAACTTGAATCTACACTACCTGAGGATGCTTCCATATAAATATGACTCATCATGGCTTTGCTGTTCTTGAGAAGAAGATTTTTAAAGATTTTTCCTATATATTTCTATGTAAACTTTGATCATCCATTGTGGCCTCACCCTACGCCTGGGGGTCATGATTTGAACAAACTTAAATCTACACTACCTGAGAATGCTTCCATATAAACATGACTCATCATGGCTTTGCTGTTCTTGAGAAGAAGATTTTTAAAGATTTTGCCTATATATTTCTATGTAAAATTTGATTCTCCATTGTGGCCCCACCCTACCCCCAGGGGTCATGATTTGAACAAACTTGAATCTACACTACCTGAGGATGGTTCTAGATAAATATGACCAATCATGGCTTTGCTGTTCCTGAGAAGATGATTTTTAAAGATTTTTGCTATATATTTCTATGTAAAACTTTGATCCTCCATTGTGGCCTCACCCTACCCCTGGGGGTCATGATTTGAACAAACTTGAATCTACACTACCTGAGGATGTTTCCACATAAGTTTCATCTTTCTTGGCCCAGTGGTTCTGGAGAAGAAGATTTTTAAAGATTTTTTCTGTGTATTTCTTTGTAAAATTTTGTTCCTCCATTGTGGCCCCACCCTACCCCTGGGGGTCATGATTTGAACAAACTTGAGTCTACACTACCTGAGGATGTTTCAACATAAGTTTCATCTTACCTGGTCCAGTGGTTCTTGAGAAGAAAATTTTTAAAAGATACCATTAATTTTTTCACTAATTCTTGATTATCTCCCCTTGGAAGAAAGCATTGGCCCTTCATTTGAACAAACTTGAATCATCTTTACCCAAGGATACTTTGTGGCAAGTTTGGTGGAAATTGGCCCAGTGGTTCTTGAGAAGACGTCGAAAATGTGAAAAGTTTACGCATGACGCACACCCGCACGATGACGGACGAAAACAGATAGCAATAGGTCACCTGAGTGACTCACATGATCTTAAAAAAAACATCTCTTGACAAAAGATTATCATATATTGAAAAAAATACTTCCTATAATTATGTGCCTTAAAATTTTCATTTGTTGACTTGAATCTGTAGTTATATATATTTACCAAAAGTCTACATGAAAGTTATCCTCTGTCTTTAAAGAAATACTTTGTAACAATTGCCTATACACATAAACGCAGACAAACTCTTCTATAGTATACATGTACTACAGTGCGAGGTTGTTGAACCTGCTTCGAAAAGTTTTTAAAAAAATTATTAATCCTTGGATTTGACCAAAAGACATAGACAAGTTGGACTAGTCCACTTTTTGGTAAACAGGAAAATAAAACCACTAGGAAATTTTAGCAAATTTGTTATAGTGTTACCTGCCCATATATGTTAGCTTATGTAAAAAAATGTGATAAATAAATAGGCTAAGCTCAAAAATCAGGTTACATGAGCCTATATTTTATTGCATGGAAGTCATGAAGAATTTCTCATCACAGTTTCACACCAAGGAAAAAAAATTATTCTTAACTTGCATGATGCTCATGATATCAGGGAATTATCTCATTTTGGTAGCATCATCTGATAGATCATAAGTTGTATCATCTTTTTATGCCAAAAAAATATCTTTTGAAATAGAAGTAGGCATCACATGGCTACTGGCTACAGTAATTTTTTATTCTTGATGTGTAGGAACATGTTAATGACCATGACCTGACCATGCTCTTAAATAAGTCAGATTTAATCATATTGATACCATCACTTTGTGATACTGTCTTTATGAATTTGTGAAAATTTTATAAATTTCAAAATACATACATGAGAAGAATATATCCTTAAATTAAAATGAATGATATATTTTTTTTACAAGTTTAAAGTTTTTATATATACATGCATTTGTAGGGAAAGATGGTGCTTCATTTATCCAAAGAAATGTCTGCCAGGCTGCTAAAGCATGTTGTTCGCTGCTACCTGAGATTGTCCGATAATCCTAGGTGTGTTTAATTTGCTACTCATTGATGAATGTCTTATTTCAGTAATAACTTGGCGAGCTTCACAGAGAGATATATGCTAAAAAAATTTGTTTAAACTAAAGTTTGAACTAGTTAGCAAGTACATATACATGTATTATCTTTATAAACTGTTGAATATAATTTAATGAAATAAATTTATTTTGTCAGAAGTTCAAGAAATGAATTTTTGCATTCAGATCAACTACACAAAATTGCCCGCCCATGAAAAGCCTAGGGTTGTTAATCAAGAGCCTTGTAATAGATTTTATTGAGTTTTTTGATATTTTTTATGCTGCAGGGCAAGAGAAGCACTCAGACAATGTCTGCCTGACCAACTCAAGGATAACACTTTCTCAAGTTGTATGAAGGATGACAATGCCACAAAGAGGTGGCTAATGCAGTTACAGCAGAATCTAGAGGCCCCAGGAATTCCAGACCCCAGAAGTATGCCTTTACATCAACAGTGATCAGACAGGACTTGGAATTTCAATGACGATGGACCTGTGAATGTGTGTTGTCAAGATACACTTCAGCATTTAAATCATGCTTGATACATCATCAGTGATCTCAGATATATGACAAAAAAGTAACATGTATGTAAATAAATTGTTAAGTATTGAAAAAATTGTATTCTTCTTATTATCAGCCACTCAGATTGATTGTAACAAATTAAATGTGAAGATTCAATCAATAGTGGCAGGGAATAGTTTTCTACTAAAGACCTGGTCAAAGGATGATGTGCCATACGGCCCCCCCGTAAATTGACAAAAATTAAATATCTAAATTTTACTCTAATTTTTGCATCCACTTAATCACTGATATGTGTACCGTCATAGAATACTACTTTTACCGAATATAGAAAAATAATTTGGAAGATATTTATCTTTATTTTGAGTAGGGGTACCATGTTTACATCTAATTTCCATTGATTTTTGGCCCCGCCCTACTCTGAAGCTCTTAAAATATACGAGCGCAAGTAGGTACATTTTTCTCCTTCGGATGGTCGCTGTATTTTATTGAAATTTACCTATATGTGAAAGGAGAAAATTGTACCTAACTGCGCTCAAATGTGTTTAAAACATTGTAAAATCTGGCTGGTCTCCTCCATTACGAAGAGATCGACAAAACAATTTTTCTGATGTAAGAATAAATTCATATGCTAATCGAGTTACCGGCGTGACTCTCTAACCGACCAATCAGCTAAATGAGTTATATTACGAGTGAGTACTACAAAATGTCTAAGGAAATTTAATGCTGGGAAAAAAGGCATATTTTTTTTCTTGTTTTCCGATAAACATTTTTTTTTATTCATTTGAGTCACAGATTAGACACGAATCGACAATTTCCGTGCTCATAATTACATATTTTTTTTTTTATTCAAATATACATTGTATAATTTCATAGTTTTGTAAAGCGTTGTTGGGCAATTGGCTACACGTATTCCCAAGAATCAGTGATTACACGATTTCGAGACCCAAAACGGTAAACACTGAGGTTCCATACGTATTATCATGTATACAAAGCCTTTGCTGACCATTAAAGGTGCTTGGACACAGATTTGAAGTTAATATTTACTCAAATTTTCTGTATAATTTCATGCCTTATATGTTGCTATAGCATTTCATACGAAAATTTGATAAAAATCTTATTTTGTCTGGAAGTTATTGAAACTTCGAATTTCTGGACGCGTTTGATAGACACATCCATGCACTTTCACAAATTTTAACATTATCCTTATTACTTTAGAAAAGTAGTAATTTTTGTTGTTTATTAATGAAAAATATTAAAACTATAATGCAGAAATTTTAGAGTAGAAATGTAGAAAGCAAAATCATATCATTAGTATTGTCAGTCCGTGCTCAGTGGTGTGTGCAGAGTTTAACAATTGAACACACCCGTTGAAAAGTAAACATTAACAACAACAGAGCTCGTGCCCTATTTACAAAAACAGTTTACGTTTCACGGGTAACTACGCAACACTGAGCACGGGCTGACAATACTTAAATAAGTGGGTTTTCCTTCGCACATTTTTACTCTGAATTTTCTGGATTATAGATGTAATATTATCCATTAATACACAACAAAATTGCTACTTTTCTTAAGTATTAAGGATAAAGTTAAACATTGTGAAAGTGCAAGGATGTGTTAATCAAACGCCTCCCAAAATTTGTAGTTTCAATAATTTCCAGATTAAATAAGTTTTTAATTATATTTTCATGTGAAATGCTATAGCAACATATAAGTTGTGACATTATACAGAAAATTTGAGAAAATATAAACTTCAAACCTGTGTCTATGCACCTTTAAAAATTTTGAAATGTAGTAGAGGTAATGTGTAAAGTGACCTAAGCCACGTGTCTGTGATAAAATGTAAACGTAGTAAACCAGCATGTTTTGTCGTTCAGTCATCGGATTGGACAATTGCTCTCGGGAAGCGACAATGTGCGAAATAATAACAATAGCCATATAAGGTAGATTCCTCCGACATGCATACCTCTCTATTGTACTAAGACCCGCCTATTCTCTTTTCATAAAACATCCTATTGTCAAAGCAAGTCGAATTTTGCTCTCCTGGGGTCTAAAAAATCACAGATAATGCAGTAATCTTCATAATTAGAATGTGTTGGAACTATTGAAACTATTCAAAAGGCGTCATATTTGTTCACTTTTGTTTGAAAACTATCAAAATCGTTATAGAATAAATATAATTCGTCGTAGAAAAAGGGGCCGCAGAAAGTAGTTTTGGCACATCATCCTTTCTTAAAAAACTGAGATATTCCCCGTTTGATGTGATATTTCATGTAGAAAAAATATAATTCTGGGATATATGTGCAGTGTAGCAGAGTTTTTGTTGAGAAAAATGATGTGCAGCATGTAGGTGTTGCTATGATGCTTAGCATACACAGAGCTGTAAATGCGAAACCAAGACATGCCGTCAGTTGCTGAGGAAATTCAGCTAGAAAGTAGTAGGGCTTAGAAGAAGGTCTGTAACTCAGAGGGGTTAACTGGCCCAAATCAATGGTGAGTTTTCTAGGGCTAGAATGATATATCGAGATGTCGATAATATCGATTCAATGTGAGGATGATACGCATATCGATACGTATGAAGAAACATCAAAATATCGCAAAAAAAATTCTGACTCATGTTTTTCTTTGTTTACTCAACATTTTGGGTAAAATATATGAAATAAATATGCTAAATATGAAAATATTCATATTAAATATGAATATGAAATACATAAAAATATCAATCTTGACTTGGTCATGTTGGTCAAGATTATAAAAATCATGGTTTGGTTATGTTTGAAATCTTGATATGGCCATGATTGCAATCTTGACTTATCAGGATTGATTAACAATGAAATATAAAAACATGACATGGGGGTCCTCTATGGCTTTCCATAGATTCCAACAGAAACAATATAACATGAGAATATTTTAAAAGAAAAGTGCAAGTGAAATAAATTGAACGAGTTGGCGAAATTGAAACAAAGATAGTGACGATGTCAAAGCATTGAGAAATTTCTGCAAAATAATTTATCACCAGACGCGGAAGTGGCACGAAAAAAAAAACTTGTTTCAATATGTATATTAAAATGGTCAATGATGACTCTACTTTTAGTACTTTACAAAATTCGGCACTGCAGTGTATTTGAACTTGATTATAATTGTACAAGTACAGATAGCGAATCCACGACGTCTTTCGGTCATTATTTGCCGTTTTCAAACAGTGTATTTAAATACACCTCTTTATTTCCATGTTATATGAACGTTATTTTCACGAGGGAACATGCTCAATGATACACATAAGTCTTTATTAAAATACCGATCAACTTTCAGCAAGCAAAACCAGACATCAGATATAACGAATATCGGATATAACGAGATCTAAACCGATGTCCCCAGCATCTCGTTATACACGGAGTCCACTGTAACACTATCATCAAAGTACTAACTTTTTTGTTTATTTGTGAAGAGGAATGCTTAAGTCGTCAAATGACTTTCTCTCATTTATAATTAAATTTCTACCTCGCACGTTTTCAACTTCTAATTGCTTAGCTTACAAATACAAAACATATTACTGAATTTAAGTACTAATCTACTAATTGAAAAACCCGGATGTTACGAAGATCATTATCTGTTTTATATGTGCACATATTTACTGATTGGTTGATAACTGATTCCAGTTTATAGACAAAGGAATAAAGTGGTATAATAATAGCAATACAATTATGACGAATGTGGGTTAAAACTTGAAAATCGATGGGTCAACTTCCTCTAATTAAAGTCATGTATGGCGTATTTTTTATAAGTTCAGACTAACTTAAATAAAAAAGATCTTTCTATTTGTTTTATTACTTAATATAAAGATAGGAATTTCCTGTAAATTACACTATTTAAATCAATCGCGTTTCTTAGATATTAGAAATTTAAAACAATAACTGATTTATTTACCGACTCGGAATTTAAATATCAGACACAGTGTAAAGTCAATTTAGCTATAGAAACGAAGGGTAATTAATTCAAGTTCAAAATCGGTGAAAATTTTAATTTGAACGTAAATAACAAATATCATGTTCATCGTATTTTTATTTTTTAGCTCAGATACGCCATATATAGCTTTAAAAACCCATACAAAATAGGTCTTCAAAAAAGAAAAAGTGTGATGTTTTGTGCATGTCAGCTAGTGAGGTTAAGTTGATTGCATAAAGGTAGAAAGCCAAGCATTGTACTGTTACATAAACAGACATTTCTTTATTGAGTATGCTCTTACAGTAGAGTAACAAAAAAAAAAGATGCATTTGTGAAAAACTTATGCCCCCGTATGGCAGCTCAGGGCCAAGGTTAAAGTTCTTCAAATGTAGGTAAACAACAAGGTCAAGAGTTCACAAATGTGGATACCAAAAGAAAGGCCTTGTCACAAGGAATACACATGTAAAATATAAAAGCCCTAACAAAACCATTCAGAAAATATGACCAATTAGAGTTTTTAAAAAGTAGGTCACACTCCAAGGTAAAGGTCATGATGTCAAAAATAATGGTACAGAAATTTCTTATCACAAAGGGTACAAAAGTGAAATATGAAAGCCCTAGCACCAACCGTTTAAAAGTTAACGACATTGTTAATGTTTAACAAATATAGGTCAAACTCAAAGGTCTAGGTCGTGAGGTCAAAATTGTTGGTACCCAAAGAAGGTCTTATCACAAGAAATACACCTGTGATATATAAATGCCATTGCACACACTGTTCAAAAGTTTTGGCCAAGGTTAAAGTTTTCCAAAAGTTTTGGCCAAGGTTAAAGTTTTTCAAAAGTAGGCCTAACTCAAAGGTCAAGGTCAAAGGAAAAAATGTTAGTATGTGAAGAAGGGTCTTGTCAGAAAGAATACATCTGTGATATATGAAAGACCTAGCACCAACCGTTCAAAGGTCATAACTCATGGCCTAGGTTAAAGTTTTTTTCAAGTGGTCAAACTCAAAGGTCAAGGTCAAAAGGTAAAAAAATGTTTGTACCCAATGAAAGGTCTGGTCACATGGAAAAAAAAGATGAAATATGAAAGTCTAGCTCCAAACGTTATGGTTTAGGTTAAAGTTTGGTAAAATTTTGCAAAAGTAGGTCCAAGTTCAAGAGGTCAAATATAATGGTAGTCAAAGGTCTTGTCACAAGGAATATGCATGTGAAACATGAAAGCCCAAGTACCAACCATTCCAAAGTTTTTGCGGAGAAACAGACAGAGAGACGGATGGACAGTTAAAAAACTACATTGTATAAGCCCCTGAATCTTCGATTATGGAGGCATAAAAATACAGGAATTCGAAATCCAAAATAGATAGTACTAGCGTCACAGTGTACAATGTGTGATGTACTGATAAAAGTTCGGAATAAGGCCTTAGAAATTTGAAAACCATTGTATAGAGATCAAAATTGATAGTGAATTAAAAATTTTACATAATAGCTGAGACGTCATAACCAGAAGTGACGCCCCTGGAGTCCTGCGCTGCATATGAGGCCACACCAAAAAAAATTCTTGTTTTTCGGACAAAATTGACCCCCTAAAATAGGGGGCGAAAGAATGATTTGATAATGACAATATCAGAATGTCATTTTCCTTGCATTTCTGATACGACACATTCTAGCAGTGTCTGCTACATTGGCTCCTGCTGCAGAGCTTATATAATCTAAACCTAGGAAAAGTCTAAAAGCAGATATTGTGGACCAAATTATATTTCTTAATAAAAACAAGACATACAGTGTATTGATTAAGTGAACATTATAATTCATGTCAGTTGACTTTAGTGCACTTCTTGTACTGGTCAAAGAAAGTTAAAATCCCCATATCTCAAACTTGATCTACATTCTTTTATACTTGTACCTAATTTAAAGTTTCACCCCCCCCAAAAAAACAACAACAACAAAACAACACCAACAACAACACAAAAAAGAGGACCATGGGCCTTAAAGCTATATATGACGTATTTTTTTTTTATAAGTTCAGATAACTTAAGTTTAAAAAATCTTTCTTTTTTTTTTTTGTTTACTTGGTTAATCAGTTAGTACCAAGTAAATATTTCATAAACATGGAATCCGGATAGGGCCATGTAGTTCTCTATCGCAGCATCGAGCATCGACTAAAGGATCAACGGTGTGATAATGCGATGGGGCGATAACGAGGAAGCGATGACGATCATGCGATGACTATGATTTGATGGCGCCATAATGCAATAACAATTGTGCGATAGCACGATGGAGCAATAGCGAACATTGCTTCATCGTGCCATCGCATCATCGTCATCGCATTGTCGTACCATTGCATCATCGTCATCGCGCTATCGCACCATCGCTTTATCGTTATCGCACCATCGTTTCATCGTCGGCATTATCGCGTCATAGCACTATCGACCCAACCCTCGATGATGCGATAGTGAACTGCATGGCTCTATCTGGATTCCATACATATAACAGTTATTCTTTATTTTCAGTGAGTCATAAGTTTAAAAAAAACATAATTAAAACGAGATTTATTCAACAAAATGTACACTATTTTACAATGTATACATATATTTCAACCTCCGATATTATATATACTGTAGTCTATAGATTATAAGTTACTAGATATAGTCAAGAAGTTTGTAGTAAATATGACCAGGCTGAATGCTGAAATCAGATGACTGTGTGTATATCGCAGAGAAAAGAGAGCAGGCTTTAGACTGTGATTGGAATGTGAAAGATCGACAGTAAAGGAAGTCTGTTAAACATGTGATAGCACACGTGGTCAGTGATCTCGAAACTGATTGGTGGATGGGCGTGATGATTGGGATCATATCAAATTTCACCCCTGAGAAGGTGGCGTAATGTAGTTTGTCAACGTCGCTAAAAGTGGGAGCTGAAAAAAAATTCAGATATTAAATGTAAATAAGTTTTACTGTGCATTCTTCGATTAAGAAATGGTAAATTGTCATTTACAATGTCAAAAATTAAAATCCCAGAAAAACACGTTCCAAAAAAGTAATTTCTAAGATTAAATTTGTATGACCTTATTTATCAGAAAATGTGTGCTCCAACTATTAAACACTTTGGTGTTTTGTAATTGTGAATTTCATGCTTGACACTTATAAAAAAACAACGCTCACCGGAGTCTTATTAGCCTTTTTGAAAAACAAATGGTTACATGTATACAATTGTTTACTTACAGAAGCTTTCATGAAGACTATCACTATCATAGCTTTACCAGAAAGTATGGTTGGTCCTGGCTATACTGATACTAATGGGCGCCATCAAATAAAGTAAAGCTTCTTTACTCAGGATAAGTTTATATGTGCATGTATAACTTTATATATTTATTTATAAGATAAAAATATAAGATGCATATACACTCATTAACTTCACAAACGATCTTTTCTTTATCCCAAAAGTGATCTTAGAATTCATTGCACAAAACTCGAATGTTCATATAATGTCGTTTTAATATATTTATTATTTTTAAACAACACCCATCAAAACCAATTTTTATCTCATCTATAAAGTTCATAAGTTCAAAACTTGAACAATTTCAAGATTAAAACAATATTTCGAATTAGCCTCCATATAAATTTCACAATCCCCAGTTTCCTAAAGAAAAACAGGTTTTAAACAAGTTAATTTGAATTCCTTTTACCAAAGAATCTTTGCGGTATTTTTTCTCTTACTTGGTTCAATAGATGAAAATTAATGTGGAAATTTTACGCCATTGACTATCCATCCATACCCATCCGCACATACGCACAAACAGATCAGAAAGCCAAACTTTAAAAGCCATTGGCTCGAGTGAACTACTAACTCATTACGTTATGATTGTCAGTGGCGGATCCAGGAATTTCATAACCGGGAGGGGGGCGCATTAGCTGTATTGAAGCCCCCAGTGGGTCCAGGGCAAAGCCCTGATGGGGGTATGGGGGCGAAGCCCCCGGAGGCTGACGAATTCTTACAAATAAGAGGTGTTTTCCTTGATTTTAGGATAATGAACATATAAGTTCTACATTAAAAAATTCAAACGGGGGGGGGGGGGGCACGCCCGATGCGCCGTCGCTGGATCCGCCTTTGATTGTGTGATATACTTACTAATGGACCACTTTTGAGTTGATACACAGTCACTAAAGCAATCCAAGTTTTTATTTTTCACCACCCCTAGGCATGTCACCAGTCCAGAAAAAGTGCGGGGCACACTCACATTGAATGAAGCTCCTACTCGTAGTTTCCCTGGGGTCACGATTGGTCTATTTGCATCGTCGTTCACACCGTCTTCACTTTGTTGTGAGGCACTGTCGCTGTTAATCTGCAAGTTATCAGCGACCACTGTTCTAAGGCTTTTAGCACTAGTGTCCACAGAAACGCCCACTTTTTGCCATTTATTCAGGGTGACAAGGTTGTTTTTCTCATTGACTAAGAACGAATACGGATTACTTGTAATCAGCCTTGATGCTCTTAGGAAACCTCCAGCTAGCCAGGCCTTCATTTTGAAAGTCCCATCTTCCGACTCGTAATCAAATATTGGACCAGAATCATTCGTTGGATAAATGTAGATAGAAATTCCGTAGTCATCCCCGTCGTTTATTGTGATATGCGTAACATCAACATCAAAATAGGAACCAGCAGTTATTTGTACTGACTCGTTGGAAGGAACAGTTAGAGGATAACTATCCACAAAATTTAGGGGACACGAAGGACCAATGACACTTATGTTAGTTTTGAGCACTTCTAACTTACATGTAGTGGGCAGGAGGGGCCATTTAAGATCGGAGCCTGGACAAGCCGATTCAACGAGTACGACTCCACCTGTAAAGCAAACAAAATTCGTATCACTTTCATCAATTAATTTCATCTGGATTAGAATATTCCAAACTGAAGCATATCAAAGTTAACTAAAGTAGTAACTGGTGCATATATAAATGAATTTTGTAATAAAGTCATATTTTGGTTAAAGGCTATTGGTAGGACTTTAAGGTCGTCACCAACAATGAAGTTTTCAGCTCATTCCAATCTAGAGAGCAAAAGTTATAGTTAACAGCAGAATATCGGTTGAGGTTCACGTCAAATATTGTAATATGTTTTTGAGTCTCGATCCCCCCCCCCCCTTTCCTCACATCAAACTTGGATTCATGGTCCTTGATCTATCACCAGTAGATCTAATTGAAACAGCTCAGTGAAACATTAGAAATGTTTCACTGAGCTGTCAAAAATTTCTATTTTGTACCGCTTGATGAGATGTTGTACCGCTTGATGATATGGCATGTCAAACGTTGCAATATTCGATCTTTTCCATTTGTATTGTAAATTTTTCCATTTGCATTGTATAATTTTTATTTGTATTCTATAATTTTCCATTTGTAATGTATAATTTTTCATTTGTATTGTATAATTTTTTATTTGTATTCTATATTTTTCATTTGTATTGTAAAAAAATCATTTGAATTGTATAATTTTCCATTTGCATTCTACATTTTCCATTTGCATTGTATAATTTCTTATTTGTATTGTATAATTTCTTATTTATATTCGATAATTTTTCATTTGTATTGTACGAAAGCCTATTAGGATCAAACTACGGTAAAAAAAATTTTAAAAGGCGTTATAACGCCTTTTGAAAAGGCGTTATAACGCGAAAAAAGGCGTTATTACGCCTTTCCAAAGGCGTTATTACGCCTTTCCAAAAGGCGTTAATACGCCTTTTAAAAAGGCGTTATTACGCCTTTCCAAAAGGCGTTAATACGCCTTTTAAAAAGGCGTTATTACGCCTTTCCAAAAGGCGTTATTACGCCTTTCCAAAAGGCGTTATTACGCCTTTCTAAAAGGCGTTATTACGCCTTTCCAAAACGCGTTATTACGCCTTTCTAAAAGGCGTTATTACGCCTTTTAAAAAGGCGTTATTACGCCTTTCCAAAAGGCGTTATTACGCCTTTCCAAAAGGCGTTATTACGCCTTTCCAAAAGGCGTTATAACGCGAAAAAAGGCGTTATTACGCCTTTCCAAAAGGCGTTATTATGCCTTTCCAAAAGGCGTTATTACGCCTTTCCAAAAAGGCGTTATTACGCCTTTCCAAAAGGCGTTATTACGCCTTTCCAAAAGGCGTTATAACGCGAAAAAAGGCGTTATTACGCCTTTCCAAAAGGCGTTATTATGCCTTTCCAAAAGGCGTTATTACGCCTTTCTAAAAGGCGTTATTACGCCTTTCCAAAAAGGCGTTATTACGCCTTTCCAAAAGGCGTTATTACGCCTTTCCAAAAGGCGTTATTACGCCTTTCCAAAAGGCGTTATTACGCCTTTCCAAATTGATACAAAAGGAGAAGACAATTTCACAGATCCGTTTTTTATTAGGCATGATGTACGAGATTAATAATCTCATCAAAATATATTTTTGTTTGGGATTTAGTAATAAAGAGATTTTGGCAATACTAGCTTATTCTGATGGAATAATACTTAGCATTTCTACACTGAAAAGAAAGTTGAAATCACTTGGATTATACCGTCGTAAAAATCACTCAGATATTCTTGACATTGCATGTTTCCTTCTCACTCAGTTTGAGACATCGGGTTCCTTGCACGGTTATCGATGGATGTATTTAAAGTGTAAACAATCTGGATACAACACTTCCAGGGATGTTGTTTATGAACTTATGCGACTACTTGATCCAAAGGGCGTGATGAACAGAAAAAGAGGAAGACTGATGAGACGACAATACCTTAATCCGGGGCCAAACTTTGCTTGGCATATCGATGCCTATGATAAACTAAAACCTTATGGCATCGCCATTAGTGGTTGTATAGACGGTTATTCACGGTATGTCATTTGGCTTGAAGCATCAACAACCAATAGTGATCCTAAAGTAATAGCCAGCTATTATTTGGAAGCAGTCAGAAAAGCGAATGGGTGTCCTAAAAGAATACGAGCTGATCTGGGAACTGAAAATACCTCTGTTAGAGACATGCAGATATTTTTACGTCAAGACCATAATGATGAATTTTCAGGTGAAAAGAGTTTTCTTTGTGGAAAAAGCACACATAACCAACGTATCGAGTGGTTTTGGGGCCTCCTTCGGAGAGAAATGGGTCAATTTTATATCGACATGTTTTCAGATTTAGGAAGAGACCACAACGACTTATTCTGCGGTGATATGTTCGACAAGAACCTGATTCAGTTGTGCTTTCTTGAAGTCATTCAGGTATTATTTAAGTGGAAAATGATAATGATTACTTTACATGAAATTTTTAATTTATTTTTTTTTAATTGTTTCCTTTGTTATAAGTCACAATTTAATATGACATTATTTGTCTTGCTGGAAAGTCCTCAAGGGTTATCTATTTAACAAAAGGTTTAAGGCCCCGACGCTCACCTGTGTCACCTTGACCATGCTGACACGTTTTGATTTTATGACCATTCTGACGTGTTCTATAATTGTTATACGCTTTCTCTATTTTGGGGATAACTCTATTGGTGTGAATTAATTCCTTTGTGTCAACTCTACTGACATAGTTTTAAAATCTGTATGTCGTCGCTGTTCTTGCAAGAGGCAAGAGTAGATTATTAAAAATTACAAGTTTATGAATCAAGAGATTGCAATTGTGGAAGTGTAAGTTGTGAAAATAAAAACCTGTTTCAATTCAAATATAAATACTTAATATGATAAAAGTGAAATCTCCACAAGTACTTGCCCCCTTACCCCCCCCCCCCCTTTCCATTTTTCTTTTTAAATGTTGGATCTATTATATCCTTTTTTTTCTTTTTAAGTATTCTAATTGTAAGATTATATTTTAATTTTCCATTGAAAATTTTCCATTGCGCCTCGGTTGACATGGTTTTCTTGGGGTGAAAAATTTCAATGTAACCCTCAACTATATGCTGTATTTATTATCCAATTAATTACCTCTTATGAGGTCAACATGGTGAAATAAGGACCCTCGACCTGGCCCACTCACTGACCTGACCTGACCGAGGCCGCGTAGCGGCCTCGGTCAGGTCAGGTCAGTGAGTGGGCCAGGTCGAGGGTCCTTATTTCACCATGTTGACCTCATAAGGGGTAATCAATTGTTTTATTATACCGATATAAGTTGAGACAGTTTTTGTAGGCTTAATTACTAAAATAATCAATTGTGTATTAGAGTTAGACCTACATGTACGAACTGTTATTATCAGTGTTTCATCTGGATCGGGATTCGACAGTGAAGTTGTTTACTTTTCGCCTGCAAGTCTTGTAAGTTTTTGCACCACCGATTTATTAAAATACTCTGTGATTGTCAGTAACATGCATTTTTATAAATTCACAAATACCATTTCTGAGTACAATGACAATCTGGTGCAGTCTTTTACTGTACAAAAGAGCCAAGTCTGCATTCGTTGAATTTGACATTTTAACGGAAGTTTCAATGAAAACGATAAACTTTATGACGCATCTAAAGGACAACCGTATTCCGTATCATAAAAGACTAAACATATTTGTATAACGGCATTTTTTGTAATGAACAGTCATTATTGTATGCATTAATTTTTAAATTTGAATGGAATTTAGATGAACAGGTCATTTTTAGCGGTCATTATTTCTAAATGACCGGTCATTATACCCCACGTGCAATGATTCCTAGGTCATTATTGCTGTAAACAGTACTTTTGGGAGTCATTATTGAGTTTAAAAGCCTTCTACCAAGCCAATGAAACTTGAGTATTCTTAATAGAGGTAAAATAATATATTATACTGAATGTTTATACAGATATATGCAACACTGAACCGTGCGCGCATAAATTCTGCGCAGTCAATATTTTTTGAATATCACCCGTCGTCAAGCAATGTTGACTGTTGCTACGCTGGAGGGCGTGGTTTCATCATTCAGAGGGTAATAGTATACATTTATTGACTAGGTTCGAGGGCAACATGCGTTTTGTCGGACCCAAGAACCAAACTGTGTGTCTGATTCCCCTAAGAAGGTTTTATAAATTAAGAAAAGAAATCATTTTTAAAATAAATTACATCAATGGTTAGTGTTATATGCCTGCCTCAGAAAAGTGGCCACATGACAACCTTCGTTGTTCTATTTACATGCACATGTACATCAGTGAAAACTCACGATATACACTCTAGGTTTCGAATCTGTTAATGAGTGATTAAAGTCAAGGATGGATCTAGGAATTTTTCGAGAAGGGGAGGGGATATCCTACTCAAAGATTTGAATTAAAAACATTTTTTAAAATGAATTCAGTGGTTCTAAGAAAGGTCAAAATAGTAAGACGTTAACAGATAGACAGACGGATGATAGAAAATCCTCAATCAGAAAAGCTCGGGAGCAGTTGGCTCTTGTCAGCTAATGCGCAGATGTACATGCAACTATTGAAGAAGACGTAAATTGACTAAACAGATAGTATCGGGGAACTGCCTGTACGATGAAAGATTCAATAATATTTTAACAAGCTTCTATCGGGTTGACAGGTAACACTGTAAACGCAATCACTATAGCAATCCTTGTATTGAAAAAAAGGAGGCGATCGAGCTTGTTAGGATTTTTGGAAGTTATATTGGGCGGAGGTTTTATGTTTTTTCAAATACATGTACATTATATTGTAGGTCTGTCCCCACTTTTGGTCTTCCCACCTTCACTTTGGTGGTGAAGTAGTGGTAACTGAAAAAAAAACTAACAGCCCTACCCGTCCTTTTCAAACTTCTCCCTACATGTAACTGTTTAGGGAAGCTCTAAACACTGCACACAAAAGAGTTTAACTTGTAGGGTAGTTCTATGCAGTTAGTGTGTTCTACCCTTAGAAAAAAGACAGAAAAAAGAATATGTACAGATCATTACACAATTTGTAAAAGATTAGAATATTCTGAGCATAATATTAGACAAAGAATAAGTAAATTAAATTCATTATTTCCATTAATTTTCCCAGTTTAAGTAAACAACAGTGATTTCTATTCTCAAATAGTCCATTGTCTTTGACAATTTTTCTTGCGGAAATAAGGCAAGTACCCTATGTTGAAAATGAGCTAAAAGAGTCTCAATATGCATATCTTAATATATGATATATTTTTCTTCAAGTCCAAAACCACTTGTTGTTAGTGTTTATAGAGTTTCCTTAAATACCATGATGCATTGTTTCACAGATTTGATATAGCATATTCATGATGAGAACTTTTGGTTTATTTGTTTAAGGAGAACCTTGATGAATTACGGAGCACATGGAACACACATGTTCTACAATCAAAAACCAATGGCATCGGTGGTCCGCGGCGTCCTATTCTAATGTATACCATTCCTGAATTATATCAGGCAGAAGATCACTTGTGTGTCGTAGCAGAGAGTAAAATCCGTATCTGTGGAGAGGAAACACGGGAAAAAACTATAACATGTGCAGACGAGACAATTTTTGAGTTATGTACTCTGATGATGGAAGAAAACGGTTTTTCTAAACCTAGAGACTCAAATGAAGCAAGGCTACTATATAGAAATTTAAGGCAACTTGTTCATGAAGAATTGGAGGACCTTTAATAAACAATGGTTTTTTAATATTTACATTTCCAATTGTTTTCTCTTCGATAAATCTTTGAAAATTAGTTTGATGATTTCTCGAAATCACTGTCTAGTTTATTGGGTATGTCAGGGGCATTACGGACAGTTGGAAACTTGTATAATTTATGCATAATAGGCATAAAAATATCCAAATGTTTCCAACTGTCGCTAATGCCCTAGCGGCTAATTGTGTTCGGCGCGTCGGCGCACGTACCGCGCAACAGAATCTGTTTACCAAAAAAAATATCGCTTATATGACATTGGGCACGATATTACACTTTTGTTCTGTATGTGTAAACACAGGTCACGATATACCCACATCAACGCACCCACATCTTTCTTGACTTATTTGAGGGATATCGCCGCACAAATATCGTTTGTGTCTGTATGAAGGTTTGAACCTCCATGTTTATGCATCCATTACTAAGTCTATAATTGTAATTTTTAAGTACAAATAAAAAAAAGGTTTGAGGACATGTATCTTTTAAAATATTTCAAAATAAAATCGAGATTAAATAAGTTCTTTAAACATTTTGTTAATTTCACACCGTTTTTGGATTGAATATTAGAATTACGCACTTTTCAAGACAGCTTCAACGAAAAAAAAAATCGTTAGGAAATTCTGTAAATTCTGTCAATAAATAATTAACTTTAGCAATTTAAAAAAAATGAAGATTACCTAAACATGATTATTACATTTTCAATAGTGATCGATATACTGTGATTTATTTATTGAATAAAATTGATATTCTTTCACAGTGTGAGAGGATACCAAAATGATATTCTGTCACAGTGTGATAGGATATCAAAGTAAAAATGGAATCTGGCCTGTCATAAGATAGAGATAGTAACTAAACCATCTTGATAGAGACTAAACCTGTAAATTTCCTCCCAAATATATTGCAAAAATTTTCAATTTCACAATTGCTAAGCTATGACGTCACAGCCTATAACACTGTGTTTAGAAAAGACAGAGGCAAAGAGAAATCAATGAAAATGTAATAAACAAAAAAATTCAATGTTTTGTAGTTGGATATGGAATTTATTTCTCTTGTGAGACAGGAATTTTGGATATTTTCACTCGTGCTACGCAATCGTGAATATATATATATATATATATATATATATATATATATATATATATATATATATATATATATATATATATATATATATATATATATATATATATAATAGTGTCCACTCGTGAAATATCCTCTATTTATAACACAAGACATCGTTGAACAAAGACATAAGGTAGATCGCGGGTTTCTGACGTCACAATAGGGTTCGACATAGAAATTCAAAAAATCAGTAGTATGCAGTACATGTTAAATTGATGCAAAGCATCAAATCAGCCTCAAAAACTAATAAGCATTTTGAAATATTTCCAAAGGAAAAAAAATCCAAGTAGAAAAAGTATATGATATATTTTACACTTGCTTTACTTTTCTGTGTAATTTTTAATTCTTTAATTTTCAGTGATCAATTGTTTAATATAAATCAAAATAAATGAATTCATGGATATAAAAATCGGACTGACATTAAGTATAGGAATTTATTATCATCAAATTATTTGATTGAAAGACAAATGCAACAAAATATCCTAGTGCTGACAAAACGGACGTACACACTTCACGTGCTGATACCCTTGATCTATTAATGCTGATCAGTGTTGTGATGTCTTACAATAAATGTGAAGTACAGAAACAAGTTTCATTGTGTTATTTTGCAACTGTAGGGTATTCAAAAACAAATTCATTTCCTCTTTTTTTTTTTTTTTTTTTTTTTTTTTTTTTTTTTTTTTTTTTTACAATTTATTAAGTATTTTAGCACTGTATTTCATATTGTAAAATATTGTGCAGTTCATATAACAACTTTTAATAAAACCATAGATTAATAAATATCTGATAAGAAATGAAAAGCAAATTGAAAAATAATAATCATTTAGATTTCGTAGTAAGCTAATTTTAAAACTTTTGTTCATAAGTTTATGTATGTTATTAATAAGGAATTATTCCAACGAAGCAATGCAGAAAAATTATTTCCCCATGTGCACATTCTAACACAACCACAAATAGATCGGCCGCTGCTGCGGCCGATAATAAAATGAAACATACATTAAAGCTTGTGTGGTCTGTAAAAATATTCAAATGAATATGAGCATTGTTTTGAAATGGGTATACCGACGTGAAATGCGCATTTTAATACATTGTATATAGTGTATTTGAAAGAAATATTACACCAACTAGAGCTGATTATTATTTTGAGTCAAAGCTTATGGTAGATATAAATATGGTTCAATCAAAAATACACAATTATTATTCAAACCTTTGGAGCAATGAGATTTTAAGCATTCCCAAATTGCGGACTTATGTTTATTTTAAAACAACTTTTGGAAGGGAAAATTATGTAGTACTTGATATGCCTAAATATTTACGTTCAATTTTAGCACAATTTAGATGTGACATTTTACCACTACGAATAGAAACCGGTAGATATCATGGGGAACCTGTTGAAGATCGAATTTACACCTTTTGCTCTAAAAATAATGTAGAAGACGAAATTCATTTTTTATTGCATTGTCCTTTGTACTCTGAAATTCGATCAAAACTTTTTGAAAACACTGGTCTTAATCACATGGCATGGTCAGATGTGGATTTACTACGTAAACTTATTTCAAATTATCCTCGACAGGTTGCAAAGTATTTGTATTTTTCATTTATGCGGAGACAGTCCGTTATGTTCAGAAAATAAGAATGTATTTCAGTGTCATATTCATCTATCAATAACTCTTATAACAGACACTACCAATCTTAGCATACAAAATCCCTATATATGTATATATATCACAATTACGTTTATTTACTTATTTGTTTAATATCTTTATTTTCGTTATATAATGAATTTCAATTTTGTGTTTAAAGTGGCGTATATAGACCCGATGGGCCGGGTGTTGATTGTTATTTTGTACAGTTTGTAAACAAAGGATTTAATTATGTACACATGTCACTATAAATAAATAAATAACTTACTTATATATATATTTCAATGACATAGGGTCATCTGTTCTCATCAACATTGGTGCATTTGAAATACGATTACAATATTACTACGCAGACGAAACTCAAAAAAAAAAAAAAAAAATCAGAAAAAAAACTGGAAACGAATGAATTTAGCTGACAATTTTCAGGGTATGTTTTCAGACAGACAGTAAACCCACGGTCTACCATAAAAATAACAACTGTGACGTCACACGAAAACTTAAAGCAAATGGAATATTTAATATAGAGAATCTCTGCTACCAAACACGTAGAAATTATAATTGTAATTCCTGCTTCAAAATCCATGATGCACTGACGATGCACTGACTGTGACATGTTTTCATAAAATAAAATTGACCAGGTAATACAATGACGTGGTCAATTGAGTCACGTGACCTTTGTCCTGTCTCTCTAATGGTGAAAAGTCTCTAATGGACAAATGTGGTCAAAGAGATTTTTTTGTAAATTTCTTGATCTTTATTATTTTTTGTTGATATTCTTGTATCGCATTATATTGAATCAGACAAACTTATACATGCAAGATCTGACATCTAATACTTGTAATTTCATTACATAAGGACAAAATTGAAAAAAAATCTGAAGATTTGGGAATAAATCTCACAAGAAAAGTAAACTACTACATGTATGTGCAAACAAAAACATATCTTCGCCATAAAATTATGACACTTTTTCGTATTGCAGCAAAAAATGAAAGAATTTAACAAACGAAGTTAATGCAGCCGAGATGCACTTTATCGCTGAAACATAAAGAACCCTCTGTACTCTAGTTGCACTAAAAGAGTCCCAATTCTGTGGTACTTTTATGTTAAATATAAAATGAAAAAAAAATATAAAGCGTATTGTTAAAATGTATAATCAACTAAAAATCAACATATTAATTATATCCTTATTATATATAATTTTTGAAAAGCCCCCCAAAAAATTTCACTAGTGTATAGAAGGTTCTTAAGAAAACAAATAAAAGATTAATATTTTTCTAAGTTGACTTCACAACGTAAAGTGAACCCTATAATGAAATTGAAAATACATGAATAAACATTTACACCATTGACGCCATATCCTATTTCCGAACAAAGAAAATTTGAAAACACCCTTACAAAAAATAACGATGACAATATATTAAATGAAAGTTTGTTGTGGTAAGAGTGCAATGCAGATGGTATTCATATTATGTCCATGATCCAAATATTGGACTCCAAAACTGCAAAAAACTCCGATCTGAATTGTGGAAAGCTTTCATAATTCTTTGATAACTCCAATAAGCATGAACAAGTGTGAGCGACGGGTCTTCTTGCTAATCCAATTACACTTACAAACTCAACTCTGATCTCTTTGTTGATCAAAAGGTCAGATCCAGTACAAAAACGAACAAATTTGCGTAATGTTTCGCTGCTCATTTCTCTGACAAGGCGTCTAAGATGGTTGGCAACTGTTTGTTCATCTGCACTCATAGTCTCTTTGAACTTGAACATTCTGTTTACAAGTTTTGGCGTTGGAATTAGGTCAGAGTACAGGTGGAGGAATTGGTCTTCAGTTATATTCAGTTGTTCTTTCAACGCAGGTTGAAAACAATCAATAATGAACATTGGTGTCTGGATGATTTCCTTGTGTGCAATTTCGTTCAATAACTTATCGATGTTTTCAGCTGTAGGAAGGGTCTTGCTATCATGAATTTGAAGAATATCTAATAGGTCATCCTGGTCAACAGCATTGAAACTAGACAATGCCTTTCTCAAAGTTGTTGCCTCCTCTTCAGCAATGATTTCAAAAAAGGCATTTATAAGAGGTGTTGAAATTTTCCCAAATATGCACTGCTCCATAAAAGGTGGGGAAAGTTGTATTGGAAAATATCCACAGGACTTCCATCCAAATACGATTATCTTTGAAACGGACTCCCATTCTGTTTCAGCAAAG